TTAATAAATAAATAAATAAATAAATGCATACTTAACTCAAGCTCACATTTTCTCAAGATTATGCAACATATGTCTTGTAATCAATGTCAACCAAATTTTGCATAATCAATCAAGTATTCAAATTTCATCAAGAATAGATAACCAAATTCAAATTCTCTTCAAATAAAAGTTTAAAGGTTATCCATCTCCATTGTGTGTCTAGAGTATTCAATCTTTAATCTCATATTTTGGCTCCTTGCTCTAGCATACCTACAAGTGACAATCTCATTTGATTTTTTGTACCCAAATTGCTTTAGGTCCTTGAGAGTTGTGAGCAAATCTCATGTTCCTTTAGGAACCCATACTTGTCTAATTCTAAATGAAACTTTTCTTTTAATAGGACAAGTATGTATAGTATGACTATGAAAATTATAAAAATTACATTTAATCATTTTAGCACTTAAACTTTTATATAAAAACTCTCGTTTTTCATTCATCAAAACATCAAATTTCTTTTTCAAATCAAAATTTTCTTTTTCTAAAATTTTATACCTATTTTGAGAGGTTTCAAAATCTATTTTCAATTTTTCATTTTCTTTTTTCAAAGCATTTTTTACATTTATTAAAAACTCATTCTCTATATTCAACTTTGAAATCATTTTCTTATATTTCTTCTTCATTGATTCATATTCAAGATATAGCTCACTATAAGCATCTTGTAATTCATCAAAAGCATATGAATTTAAATCAATAGAATTAGAGGTTACCTTCGAATCTTCAAGAGCCATAAGACATGATGCATTTTGGTTGGATTGTTGTCTTTCATGTATTTTATCCAATTTCTCTCATATCTTATTTGAGGTTGGATACTTTGATACCAAGTTAAATTTGTGAGAGTCAAAAGCTCCATATAGTAAGCACTTAGCCTTGACATCTCTATCACTTGCCTTATGTAGTTTGTATCATTTGAAGAAATTCTAAGCCTTTTTCAACCACATATCAAGCTCTAAAATCTTGGGCCATTATGAACTTTTTCATCCTTTTTCTTCATTCACAAAATTTAAATTTATTAACTATAGCAGCTTTGAAGACTTCCTCACCATCTTGAAACTAAAATTGAATATAGGATCTTTACTCAAGGTGGTTAAACCTACAAAAAGAAATCAAAGCTTTGATAACAATTGTTAGCTTTTTAGGTGAGATGGTGATCCAAAAGGGGGGATAAATTGGATTTCTCCAAATTCTTTCTAAATAAATTATTTCAATATAATTGAATGAAAATTAAAACAATAAGTACTTTTAATGAAAATATAATGCAAACAATAATAATTAATGAACCTAAAATCAAATATAAAAAATAAATAAATTGTAAGGAGATAGGGATAGAGAAATCAAATATAATGATTTATAGAGGTTCGATCTTTTTTCACAAGACATCTATATCCTCTCTCTTAATTGTTCACACCAAGGCTTCAATCCACTAATCGAAGAAAAATTCTTACAAGATACAAATCATCTTGTACTAAATCTTTATCTTTTTCTCAAGGCTTAAATAGCAACATATACCCTTACAATATAAAGAGGATACCTCACCTCTTGCTTACAAAATAATCCAAATAATTTTTACAAACTAAAATACCTCTCAAGGTTGAGTGTTTGCCTAATAAAGTACAAAAAAAAATGATAAATGAAAATCCAACAATATTTTAGATACAAGAAATACAAAGGATATTGAATTTAAGCTTTAAAAACTTTTGATTCTAAGAGAAAATGAAAATATAACTTGTTAGCACTTGCTCTCTTATTTCATTAATCTTATTGATGAGTTGGAATGGCCAATATATAGAAAAAATGAAGAGCTAGCCATTAAAGATGCTTGAAAAAATAAAGTAGCCATTGAATGCTTGATAAAATAGTCGTTAGAGATGTCTTTGCCCAGAACCAATCGATCCCTTCCATGAGGGGATCGATTGGTTCATGTTTTAAACCAATTCACGCTTGAAAATAACATACCCAATCGATCCTTTTATGTAGGGGATCGATTGGTTAAGAGGGTAATCGATCCTTTTTTCATGTTTTTGACCCAAAGAGCTTTTTGTATAAGAAATCAATTGATCCCTTCTAGAGGGGATCGATCATGTCCATGCTGGGTGGTAGTATCCCATTTTGCACTTTGCTCACTAATTTGATCATGTCTTGAGTTATACAAGTCCAAATCACAAACCGTTTAAAGATTTAGAAACTAGACTTAAAAAGATTTCTATCCATATAAAATTCATCATATAATTCATTGTGTACGAATTATAGTGAATTTTCAAAGCTACCATATGTGTAGTTTTTGGACAACTATAGAGTATCTAGTAAAAATTCAAAATCTTTTCTTACAAAATTTGGATTTTGATTTTGTTTGATCCTTTAGAAAATAGACTCAAAGTGCTTTTCAACCATATAAAATTCAAATATTAAAACTTTGTGAATTAATACAAAAAAATAAAATAAATTCAATATTGGAAAACTTTATTCTTGTAAAACAACTTTCTTAAGTTAATCTATTTCTCAAAACCAATATTATCAAAATTGTATTAATTCAAAATGAATGAGTTCACTTTAAAAACAACAATTGGAGTTTCATTTAAGCTCAAATAAATAATCTTTAAAAGATAGATTTGATTTGAGAAATATGAAAATAAAGAAAGGTTTGTTTACACTTTGAAAAATATATTATTTATTTAGTACCAAAATATAAAACTTAAAAATATGTACTAAATAAATCTTTTCAAAATCTTGATCAAGTTGATTTAGCTTAATATTTTATCATTTTAAAATAAGGATCAATTCAAGGCTAACAAGTTTGAACTTTAAAATTTATAACATTTGTAACTTATTTTCTTATCTTTAGACTGTAATCACTCTGTAAAAAAAATAATTCTTTATTTTGTTAAAATAGAAATAAAAATAAAAAAGACATGAAAAAAAAAATACATCCACCTTGTCCAAATCATCAATATCAATAGTTCAATACATATGGATTAAAATTATACCAAGCATTCTTAGCAAGATGTTTACAAAATTAAAAGACAATTTGTGCCAAATCTGCTTAATTGAATTTGGATAATTGGAAAATCAATTATGCTTTGAGGTTAATTGAATCCTTAACGAGATTTAATGGAAATATTTTGGAAATTTGGTTATTTTTTTCTTGGGTTGATAAAAAATTTTTGGTTGTTTTCCTTTGTGTGTGAAAAGAAAAAATAAAAATAAGTGGACTTTTTTTTTTTTTCCCTTTTTTTTCCTATTATTATTTTCTTTGGGTTCTCTCTAAATTAGAATCAACTACCAATCTTGCTTTTTTGTTTTCCCTTTTTCTCTTGATTTTTTTTTCCTTTAGGTTCTCTTTCTGATATTAGAAATATAGTATTTTTCTCTTATTAATTTTTCTTGAAATAAATTTTACCCCATATATTAAAGTAGTAAATAATTTTATATAAAACAAATCACTTAAAATTTAATAGATTACAAAAAATATGGGGATGTGTAGGACATTTCATTATTCTAAAATCAGAGAGATAAATATCATAATCAAACCACACAAAAAAAAATAAAAATGAGCTAAACAAAGAAACTTGAAAATACTTAATTATTAAAATATACTCCCTCCATCACAAAATAACTATTACCTATTAACTTTTTTTGTTAAGGTAATTCTAGTATGACCTTATTTTTTTAAATATAATATTAAATTAAAATTTTTTAAAAATATATTTTAAAAAATTAGAAACTCAAAATTTATAAATCGTATTTTGTAATTTTTATTATTTTATTAAAAATAATTATCAAAATTAAATTAATTTAACCAAAAAAAAATCAATAAAAGATAATAATTTTAAAACAAAGAGAATTTAAAACCCAACTCTATCAAAGAGGCCCATCAACCACTTCCAAGAAATATTTATGGGCAAATCGATAGAGCCTAGTAAGAAATTGAGACCAGCCCATTTCTAAGGTTCATCTTTTGAGCCTTTTTTTATTCTTTTGGGCCATAGAATGGCCTTTGAAATCCGAAATACAAACATGTCTAGTTCTTCAATTTTTCTATTTTTTAAGTTGTCTCCATTTTGTTGTCCAACAAAAGAAATTTTGGTTAATATTTAATGAGTTCGCTTTTAGTACATTTACAGTATAATTTTTTTTAATTTTATAAATGAAATTAAAATATTATTATATGTCTTATTTTTAATTTTTTTAATTTTTTTAATTATATTTTAAAAAATATGTATAGTATTATTAATGCTGATAAGAAAGTTTAAAATATAAAACATAAAATATATATCATGTTGATTAATATATCTTTTAATTAATAGATAGATCATGAAAATGAAACTATCAACCATCATTTAATTCTTTGAGAAAACAACTATTAGTAACATATTTTGGATTCTTTATTATTTTTCTAAATAATTTAAAGCCTGAAAAATATTTATTTAAATTCCTACCTCACATGGCACATTGAGAATATAAAGGGTTTAAACTATCAATAATAATAAAGAAAAGATGTTCACGCACATTAATAAAAATATTATTATTAGATTTAATAATTTTTATATTTATATTATGTAAAATATTAAAAATTCGTATATTTATATCATATTTTATACGAAAATTACATATCATAATTTATATCAATACGAATATATAAAATATATTTTTTTAATTTAATTAAATTTATTTATAATATTTATTAAAATTTTATATCATATTATTTTGATAATTTTTGCTAAAATTAATTTACTTATAAATTTAAAAATTTTCTAACACCCGTGCCCAAAAAATTTTACCTAAATTGGCCGTTTAGTAAACAATCATGGATAAGCCAACAACAGGAACAGCTCAAATCTTCGTAGTTGGACCAGTCCACCATGACAACGAACAAGTTATTATTATTATTATTAAGAAGAAGAAAGGACAAAGCAAATAAATAATTCTTTATACTATGCTTTCAGAGCACTATGTCCTTAGGACTTCATTTCCTATCTTTTCTTTCCTGTAGACCGGTAAGTACCCTTTGCAACACATCACCGGAAAAAAACCATTTTTCAGTCACCGGAAAAAATGACAGATTCCGATGGAGGATGTTGTAGATGTTGCTGTAGCTTCATCTTCACTCTGGGTCTAACAGCACTTTTCATGTGGCTGAATCTACGTACTTCAAATCCCAAGTGTTCTATACAAACTTTTTACTTATCAATGCCATCACTTAATGAAACCTTGAACCTCACAGTTGACCGTACCTTAAACCTCACGCTGAGGCTAGACAACCCTAATAAAGACAAAGGGATCAAGTATGATACTTTGAATGTCACAGTTTATGATTTTCCAAACAAAAGTCATGTCCTAGGTAACATTTTGGTGCCGGGGTTTTACCAGGGTCACAAAAAGAAGGCTACAAAGCCTGTTCAAGGGACTGCTAACACGACGGTGGCTTTACAGGTGGTTTATGAGAACCGAATGGGGGTTTTCCGGGTAGATATGGCCACGGCGGTGAAGTTTAAGATCATGTTCTGGTATACAAAGAAGCATAAGATTAGCGTAGGAGCAGATGTGGTGGTCAACTCCAGTGGTTTTAAGGTTGAGCCTAAAGGGATCAGGCTTAAATCTATGGCACCAAAGATGGGAAGTTTTTGTGTGGTGGTGGGAGCTTTGGTGAATTTCTTGGTCTTTGCTTTGCTTAATTTTTGGTGATTCTTTCATTTTCCGGAACATTTGAATTAATTGTTTGTTTGATTAAGCTGCATTGAACATTTGAATCATTGATACATGAAATTTTGATTTGAATTTAAGAGTTTTCTGCTGTTAATTTTGATTTTCTGGGCGTTTTCTTTTGCTTGTTTAGCTAATTCTTGGGCAGTGGAAAGCAATTGTTTTCTGTTTCTAAAAATCTTTATTTGACCCCACTTCTTCATTCCATTTTGTATGTTAGTCTGATTTGTAACACTGTCATTAACAATTGCTGCTTAGGAAATTTAGCAAATTTGAAGATTAATTCGATCTTTCGTCAGCTGAATCCTTTTGTGCAATAGGTGGGAAAATGAAAACGCAAATGCACAAGTAGAGGAAATTTCTTAGTATCCCCCTGCTGGTAGCCTCATCTAGAAGCAGAATTGAAGGCTTTTTCAGTATTGCTCGTGCCATTGCAACGCTTTTTTTTGACTCCCTGATAGTTGAACTCCTCTTTCTCCCCAATTTGTGTCATATCCACCTTGCATCCCACTGCAAATTACAACATGAAAATGATTATTGACTACTAAAAGTAGCATACAACGAACTTCATCATCTGAGAGATCGATGAATTAGGTAATTTTTGATTGAATATTTCAAATCGAACTAGAATGAAAGAATTAATGTTTAACTTAATGCAGTTCCCATACCTTATAAATTCATGAGCATTGGCACGCTTTGCGGCCTTTCTTTCTCGGAATCTTTAGCATTCTCTTTGCCATAGGCAATGTTTCCTCGGATAGTTCCTGCAAATATAGTTGGCTCCTGACTGACAAGTGCAATATGTGCCCTCAGCATTCTCAAATCATAGTTCTTTAGATCCTGTCCATCAATAGACACTGATCCCTTCATTGGATCGTAAAATCTCTCAATGAGCCCGATGATGGTAGATTTTCCAGAAGCACTTTGTACCAAAAGTGCCACTGTCCTCCCTGCTTCAATTCCAAGGTTCAGACCCTTAAAGATCAACTGGTCAGGTCTAGTTGGGTATGCAAAGAACACATTTTTCAGCTCTATCTGTCCCTTAATTGCCTTTTTAGCCAATAGCCCACTTGTTCTATCAGGATCAATCTCACTCTTCCTGTCGAGGATTGCAAGAACTGATTGAATGGCACTACTTCCTTTGGATAGATCATAGATCATTAGTCATATTTCCAGCTTCTGCAATGACATAAGCAGTAAATAACAATACCAAACGCTCGGAAAAGGTGTTCTGATGTTCTTAACCCTTCTTTTAAAAGTCTCCCACCATACCGGAAAGCTAATGCTGTAGAAGAAATGTTAAAAAATTAAGCATTAAAAAGGGCTAAACCTGAAAGACAGGAGTGCCTGACACTTTCCTCCTTGGGACCTTTTAAGGTATCCATGAAATGCCCCAACATCCTTTTCTGAGAAGAAAAGGCAGTAATAGTTCTGTGGTTTACCACAGCTTCACTTGCTAGTTTGGCTTCCGTCCTTTTGTGCTTTTTGGGCCTTTCCAGCCATACTCTTCATCAGGATGCTATTTGAATTGAGTCTGCAATCATCACAAGTGACAGTCTCCAACTAAGTTTAAGTGCTACTGCAAAAGCAAAAATAGACCCGAAAATTGCTTGAACCAGCAATGACAATCGATCTCCAACAAGGGAAAGGACCATGTTGGCTTCAGTCGCAAAAAGGACAGATTCCTGACTAACTAGACCCATTTGAGATCTCAATGGTTGTGGACTTGCCAGAACCACTGCCTCCAACAAGACATACAGACTTACCGACCGGAATTCTAATATTCAAACCTTGCAAGACTGGTGTATCAGGTCTTGATGGATAACTAAAATAAATGTCCTTAAATTCAATCTCTCCCTTTACATTTGACAAAGCCTTTCCTTTCCTATCTTCCGTGTCTAGCAGATATGGTTGGCACAACTTGGAAGGTCATGGATGAGCCAGTTTCTTTTGTGTCAAAGAAACCAACTTCCTGTCTACAGACAGATTTTAGGCATTCTTCCCTGATTCTGGAAGTCTGTCTCTCAGCAGTTCACGTCAAAAAAATTCCTTCTGTAAATATAAAATTGCATCCCATGGAAGCAATGCAGATGTTAATGTCCAGTGTTTATCAGTCTAATGGCATATGACTTTTGAAAGGGCTATCATAGTTACAACTCACCAACAAAAGCCGAAAGTCCAACTCTAATTGCAACATACAACAGCCCAGGTGCATACTACAGATTGAATTTATAGTGGCAGAGTTAACAAAGTAATTAAGTGTCACAAACTAGGGATAGGAATCAATTTTATTCATGTAAATAGCTCGGATTGGCTCTGCTAGCCAGGTCTGAAAGCCATAATGCTATTGCTATTGACTGAAGTAATAACTGTCGGTAGCACATACCTTATCTACAATATCATTAGACAATGTACTGTTAGGATTTCCATATTCATTGATTTCTTTGCTAAGTACAAACATGGTAAGAGGGTACTGCACATGTCATGGGAAGTCATGAAGCTGTCCCCTTTTGGAGACTGAAAAACTTGTTTTTCTTTCATGCAATTCTCAATTTGGACCCCTTGAATAGTCTATGTTGGCCAATGACATTGAATCTGTCACCTGGAATGATTCTTTCAATTTGACAAGCAAGGTTGCATAGAGCCAGGTTAACAATGGGAATATACCTTATTAGTCTGTGCAAAGCCTATAGTTCGTTCACAATTTTTTTTTCTCTTTTTCTTGTGAGAACATAGCCTTCCATTTGGGATGCTCTGAAATCATATGTACAGCAGGATAATAAGGAATCAAAGTTAATTAATCTATACCAAAACTTCGGTGAAGAAAATAACATTTCTCACCCTCAGTGTTTCTAGCTTAAAACACCTTTTTTTGTGAAGATGAACATTTCATGGAAAATGTAGAGAAGGAGCTCCTCCTTGAAATTGGAGGAACTTTGCTGGACTTAATGCAGAATGCTAAGAAACACCCCCTGGTGTATGGGCTTGTGAATAACTCAATCATCATGGTGATAGTTGAAGAGAAAGTTTTTCCAAATTGTTTTCATGCAAGAAACAGGCATATAGAAGGCAACTAGATACACTCAGTTCTACATATTCGTGCAATAAGGCCCCTTAAGCTCCTATCACCATCTGCCTGGCTCTAACAATTGGTCATTCTCTGCTGCCAAATGAGTAGTCGTTGATTTTTGTCTTCTATGTATGCATGAGGTTCAAATTGCACAAATTGGTATCAAAACATCTTTATTGGAGATTGATAGATATTGGTATAGTGAAAGCATATAGTAAGACATTCGAGGGTATTGATAACTATTGGTACAGTGAAAGCATATAGTGAGACATTCGAAGGTACAAATTCAAGAGATTCTAATTTCTATAAATCATCTTTGATAACCGAAATATAAACAAAAATGGATTGTCTTCAAGTATGTTACGTCTGCGAGCAAGAGAGGTAGGAGAGGAGGACAAGCGATCAAACACAAGAAGAAACAGTGGAGCAAACAGGTAAAGAATGGCAGGGGATGAACAACCAATGACACAAACCAGTATAGCCAGCCACAATGTCTTGGACAACACTACGAACAATCCTGTCACAAATGCCAACGCCATTGCCACAAGTGCAATCCATGTCAAGCCAATGGAGAAAGGAAGTGTATCCATGAATAATGATTCACTAACTTGACAAGAAGATGACCAGAAAACCAAAACTGCTGCAGTCATAGATGAGGTGAAGGCAACTGAATCTGAGATTACGAATGCTTTAAAAGCTGATCTACTAATCAGTGCTGCCATACCTTCATCTGGATCATTATTTCTAAAACCTCCAGGGATGGTAAAAGCTGCAGTAAATGTGAATGTAGCAATTAGTGTTGCCATTAGTAATAGTGTTGTAGACATTTCTCTGCTTCTTTGACCAATTTTATTTGATCTTTCTACTTCCATGTCGATGAATCCTCCATCTTGAAGGAGATCTCCAGCTCTCGTTGTATATGAACTTTTCAACGTTTTTAAGGTCAAGTGCTGCAATGGATAAAGAAGTGGGATACGTTTCGGTTTCTTAATCTCATTTGTGGAGTACAAACTTTCACAAACAATGTATCAAAAACGAACTCTTAAATATAATTTCACCTTAACTTTTGTACCTTTTGTAGTTCCATCCCACAGTCGTCAGTTGAATACACAACATCCAAAGCTGTTTCATGATTCAGGTTAATTACCCTAATGTCCACCTTCGAATTCCTTGACAAAAAATAGGCCACATTGCTATGGAAGTTCATTGCTGCAAGATGCAAAGGGGTGTTTCCAGCCACATCTGATGCATTGACCAAATCCTCAGCTTCAGGTAAATCCAGGACATATGACACTACGTTGATATATCCATTTTTAGCAGAAAGATGAAGAATATTCCGTTGTTCATTGTCGACCACCTCAATCGTGTCAGGGCAAGGATTGAGCAGCAGCTTCAGCAAATTTGCTTGACCATTCTTGGCAGCCAAGTGGAGAGGTATTTGTTGATTATTATCTGCTTGATATGCAGCTGAAATATCCCATTCTAGTAATTTCTTAACCATTTCATAGTCACCCAAGGCTACAGCATAGTGAAGGGGATTTCTCCCTCTCACATCTTGCTTGATGATCAGCTCTCTTTTCACATCCAGCATTTTATCTATGATAGCTAAATTCAGTAGCACCAAGATAGAAATTTACAAGAAAATTTCATTAACTGTTCTTTTTTTTTTACTTAAAAAAAAAAAAAGACAAGAACTGTACCTAAATCACGCCTTATGACAGCACGGTGTAAAGGTGTTTGGTCGCTGTCACCTGTATGCTCAAGTGTGGATGGATTTGCAAATATGATACTGTCAGCAACAGCAGTTAACCTCAGATCAATAGCAATAAACAATGGAGACTCCCCAGCATTATTGACCAACCCCAACGATTCCTGATCTCCATCCACCAATAGCCACAGCACGTACTTATGATTGTTTCTGACAGCACAATGTAGAGGAGTATTACCATTATTGTCTCTGATGCTTGCCAGATTTTCGACAGTGCCTTTGAAAAATTGAACAATATCAAACTGTCCAGCCTTTGCGGCAACATGCACGGGTGTTTCACCCTTGAGGTTGGTACTCAGAACAAGACTAGGCCGCCAATTCATTATCTCGTACACCAAATCCTTGTGCCCGAATCGTGCAGCCATGTGAAGAGCTGTGTTGCCTTGTGGTGTCGTTGCATCCAGGATGTTGGCTTCAGCATCTACAAGTTCCTTGATCAGTTTTAAGTTCCCTGTTCTTGCTGCCACAAGCAATTGTTGATCCATGGCCATGGGGGAAACTCATTGATTACGCCAAAATAGATTATAAAACCATGATCATAAAGCAAAAGAAGGTCAATACAGACAGCGACGGTGATAGAGGCTTTGATAGGAAAACACCGCAATTAAAGAGTAACAAATTTTGAATAATCAACAGAATGTAAAAGAAAAAAAAAAGTAGAAATGTTGAATCAGTGTGCAAAGAGAGCAAAGTTGACTTGGCCATGAAGACGCATGAGATTTAATGCATAAATTAGTTTGACTGTTTATTGATTTCTCGTCCGAAGAAAATTACACGGAAGCCGTACAAAATTATTACAAAGCTATGCGACAAGAAATAGATCCTCTGATCGAAGTCATATACTCTATAACATAGGTTTTATCCACACAAGTAATGAAGAACATTAAAAGTTTTAGAATATAATTTTGAAGTACTAGAACGAGACCCGTTCTTATCACAAGCTCTTAATAATATGACTATAAATGCCATTACGTGTGACTTTCTTTATTATAAAATTTTTTAAGAAAAATAAATACGCTAGTAAATAAATATCCTAATAAATAAAATAAGCTTTTTACGTATTATTTCATCCAAAAAAACCGATTTGAAGTCCCTGAATTTGTTTATACAAATCAAATGTACAAAGTAGAGGGCGGAAGGGTTTAACACCTTAAACATCTAAAAGAAAGACAACAAATTTTAAATCAAAATTTTTTAATAAACAAAATAGCAGATTGGAAATCGAAGAAAGAGTAGTACATATTTATAATTTAAACTTTAAATTTATTAAATATTATTTTTTTTAGTATGATACAATAACTTGAATAGTCATTAAGTCCATTATTAGATTTTTGAGCTAATAATTAGATTGTTGCAATAAAATTATAAAGATGAGAAATGGGTAAATTGGTAGTCAAAGTTGACAAAGAGTAGGTATATAGAAAATAACAAGGGCAATGTTAGGGCAGTTCGGAAAATTGGTGTCCATTTGGTTTGATTGTCTTGTTCCTCAAACTTTAGGTTACTTCACCCATTTTTGCTTGTATGGAAACTTTGACTCCATTTAAGTTCAGCACTGTCATAATTTGCATTATATTGTGAACTGAAATTTGGGTTTTTGTTTGAACCAGAAAAAAAAAAGTGGGCTTTTGGGTTGTTTTGTGTTACGCTTTGTCAAAGGCACCTAGACACCTGAACTTGTAAGAACACGATTTAGCAAAACAAAAGCAAGGGTTAAGTGTTTGATAGAAAGGTTATGCTTTGTCGATGACTCGTATATATATAAATTTGATAAAAATAAAAATATTTTATTTTATATTTGATATATGATATAAATTATAATATAATAATTTATATACAAATGGTCAAATAACCGTTAATTAGTAGAAATCTAAAGCACAGTACAGCAGCCTCCAACCACAAAATATTCTTTCCTTAAACATTGTTTTGGGAATGGTTTGTTTTAAGAAACAAAATTTCGGATTACACCAAGGAACAGCTTTTCCTTTATGCCTAATTAATAGACACACTCAAGACAGTAAATTTATGTGTTTATTATATACAGGAAAGAATGAGTAATCTATATGATTGGGATGCATTCTGTCCCAAAATTTGCAAAAAAGAATGAGAAAAAAACTGGTAAATCACATTTGACCCCGTAATTGCACCAGTAAACTCTGCATACCTTCTAGTTTCTGTCTCAGTTCTTTAATATTAGTAAGATGCTCCTTGGAAGATTCTGATTTGGATAGTTGAGTAACAAGAGCTGCACACTTGGCCTGCGAATCCGAAACTGCCTCCTCAAGCAAAGCCACAGTCGAGCGCTGGTCTTCATTAATCACTTTTGGAGGAGATTGCCCAATACTTCCAGCACTGCTGCCTCGGCCGAGCTTATCCGAGGAGAAAATCTTGTCGAACCCATCAGTTCCTAAAAGTCATCAACGTATATATTATGAACCACAAACCAAGGAAAATAGTGAGCAGCAAGGGTGGAGAGACAGGCAGCCAAAGAAAAGGAAACCATATAAATTTTATATTAAAATGACGTTTAAAATGTTTCGGCCATTTAGCTGTATTATAGATTTCAAATGATATTATATTCTGAATTTTAGAACCTAGGATTTTTTATTGCCCTATCAATTTGCTAATGTACTTCTGCTCAACAGCAATAATTTAAATGTTATTTGATGCAAATGACAATAAGGGCAAAGAAAGTAAAGATTAACTTCCAAGAAGATCTGAGGTTACAGTTTTTACTTAGCATCGAATTAGTTTAGAATCTTGTAAAATACTTTTTATTAAGACCCATTTTGATACGAAGTAGGTCAGTCGGTTCTATTCTACTTTTATGTTTGAAACTTTCTTCGTGGACTACTTGCTTGGCTAAGTACGTTAACATTCTAAACAAAACTTGTGACCGGAAGCAAAGGTTTCCATCACCAGGACCTCCGCATCAAACCCCAACCTGCATATTCTTAAGTCTACCAACTCATAAAGAAAGCTCATTAGTATGCTGACTTTAACTGAATGAAATAACTTTTCCAAATCAGACTTACCAAGGTTGCTAAGTTTATCTATGGCCTCCTTGCCAAGCGACTTTTCCAGCTTGAGCAGCCGCAAGACTCCAGCAGCTATACGACCCATTGAATCAACTTCAGACTTGCACACGAAAGCAAGGTGCTGAAGTTCATCCTTGGTTACAACAGCCTCAATCTACAGAGTGAAAGAAACCTTAATGAATAGAGATTGACCAAGATCATTGGCTGTAATCAGCTTCTTAAAAGATAGATCCCATTACCGGTTGTTTGACAGAAAATTTCAAGTTTTCCACCACCCAGTTGACCATTTCATTATCAAAATTATCTTCTGATATCACCATACGAACTTCAAGATTTACCCCTCCTAATGTTTCAAAACTTTCTTTGAATCCATTTGCAGGAGATACGTCTTGAAGGATGCACCTATGGGCCTGAGGCTTCAAGGTCTGCAAGCCTTCCACACTGACCTACAAGCATTTTCACCTTTAGAAAGTTATTTAAAGCAAGTCAGAAAGATGGCATTCACATTAAATGAGGTCAACTGTTACGTGGACAAAGGTACTTCTGTCCTAGGTTAGCCCAAAAAATTAGGAAAATTTCTAATTCCCAACATGCCTGTGCTGAAAATTATACTGTGCCATACCCAACAATTTTGGACCAGAATTTTTAATGCCCATGTACTGAGAAATGAGAATGGTCACCATATTCTGCAAAGTTTATACAAACTACACTTTGCTTAGCTCATTAACCTCCTACAATCAAAGCAGATAAAGAAACGAATAAAAGATAAAACCCAACAGGTTCAATCTTTCAGCCATCTTGTCATCATAGGACAAGTTCAAGGACTGGAGCTTCCTATAACCTCCCAAACATAGGAAAAAAACCCACCTTGGACACTAGCTAGGCCAGAATACATGCTTCTAACACTCAAACCAAAATGCAGAGAAATATCAACAGTTCAGTGTTGCTCATATATGATAGTGTTGGTTCTAATAACTTCTAAACTAATAAAATAATGTTTGTAGGGCCTAGCAAGAGAGGTAAAAAGATTCTTACTGTGACCAACTCCACAGGATATCCCCGAATTCCATGTGAAATCCCTTTTCCATTAGGGACATCCTTTGGACTACTTTTTGCTTTTACTTGCAAACTCCGGAAAGTTGTGTGCCAACACCTCTGCTCTCTGCCCAAGACTTCTTTCTCAAACCACCTCCTTTCAGCCATCTCTTGCACACCTTCAAGAGCAAATAACCAGTCTTGTAATTCAATGGATATATCCACATCATCTGGCATTCCCAGGTGCAAAAAACTATCATCTTTCACCCCTCCAAAGGTTCCACCTGGACAAAATTTAAGACAATTACAGTTAAATTACATGAGTAAAATGCCAAAGGAAAACTTTACTACAGCTTATGAAGAGCAACAAACTAAACAAAAAATCACAATAGATTATGTCTCATACCATCCTCAAGATCATTACCAATGAAAGCTGAAGGTTTTAGAAGTTTTGACAGTGGCCCTGATGATAAGTTCTCTATGCCCTTAGATAGCTCTATGCTGGGACCACCATCAGGCCCAATAATTCCAAACCGATGTAGCAGAGCTTCGGTATAATTCATTCCTCCACCTAAGCGCACACCTGATATACAAGCTAACACACTTAAACTATGACACTCTTTGTCCCGCTCATCGAAAGGAATGACATGCACGATGCTTATGTCTAAAAATGGAACTAGTGAAGCTTTTCCATTTGATAGGCTCTTCTTCTTGTTGTGTACCCAAAAAACGGCTCTTAACGGAGAAAATCCATTCCCAGTCACCAGAGAACCATTTTCAATTGAATCTAAAAGCATTCCATTCTTGTGTACAATGTTTCCCTCTGTGTCTACACAGTCCACCTGAACACTCTCCCAACACAAAGTCGATGAAACAGCCATAGCACCACCAAGAGTTCTGTGAGTGACTTTAAGGAACAGATCATTTCCAATAAACTGAACTAAAGGCATGCCCTGGATATCTGCAGAGGATAATTCGAGAAATCTAAGCTGAAGAACATTTACTGCTAAACTTACAGCAGTATCACTTGGAACTTTCTCCATTAGTCTTCCACCCACAGTATCATCCTTGTTTCTCTTTGGTCTTTTATTCTTTCCAACCACAGCAATCTTTTCACTAACTGTACCAATATACCCATAGAGATCCAAGACAAAAAATAACTGCTCAACCGATGTATTGGACATAAATTGTTGACAAGCAACCCCTATTCTGACAACACCACCTGGAGGAGGCACAACTGTTAATGGGTAGCCATCAGCAGATGCCATAGCTACCTCAATGGAAACATCTTTCAGCTCAATGCACCTCCACAAGCCTGAAGACCAGCCAAGAGAACTTTGAAGTCCCGTTAAGCTAGCAGTTGTTTCCAAAGACAAAGTGAATTGTGATGCTGCAGCAGTCGATTTCTTCAGGCTAGCATCAATAGGTTGACCATCCCAGAGAGAGAAACAAGAAGGATCCTTCTCCAGGTTCAGCAGCTTGAGTTTTAGTGATGGTGACTCACAGAAAAACAACCTTTCAATGTGAAGCCTAGCCCCAGCAAACGACTTTTGCATGATATGGTTCTCTCCACCACCAGGATTATCCAATTTGCACGTGTCGAGAGGAACACTAATATCTAATTCCTTGAGAGTGAACACAAGGGAATTCACTGACGAATCCGGTAAAATAGAACCAGGATTGACAACTATTCCATCAGCTAAGAAGGAAGATATCCTCAAACAAGATTCTTCCTGAAGATGAATCTGAGTAATGAATTGTAAAATGAGAATGAGCAGAGAAAGTTGATATAATTGGATGGAAGTAATTGTGTATCGAAATTATGAAATTATACCATAAGAGGCTGGCAACCAATTACAGTTTGTGAAGCAAAAGATGGAGGGAGTGGAGAGGGCTTGACTTGAAGAGAGTGGAGGCATATTAGAGGAACACCAACAGTTAATTGCCATTGTTGCTCATCCAGAGGATATATTGGAGGGCAAAAATTCTTACCTGATAAACCAATACAAAAAATAGAAACATAAATTCTAGTAACCTATACAATAACCTGATTATTCATCCATCCACATGATGAAATTTTCTATGTAATACAAAATAATAATTAACTAATACCAAATTCAGGAATTTGAAGACAAGAATCAGCAACAGCCTTCATGGATGGTTGCACTAAAGTACAGGGAGGGTGTGAAAAGGTATCCCTGCATCATACCCACCGACATGTTAAATTCAATATAAACAGTAATACTTCTAAATTGAAGATGACCATGCAATAAAAGCAAGATGAATCTGAGTAACTCACATATACATTTATGTCAGTATCATATATCAGAGAATATCATTTCCCAAATTCAAAGTTTTAAACTAAGCTTTGGAAAATTCTAATTAGGAAAATCTATCAATGTTTCTGCAGAAAAAAGGTTGAAATCTTGACTTGATAGTACATATTATGGCTAAAACATCCAAAAAAAAAAAAATGACAATGAGGTAAGTACCATAAAGATGATGAATTGCATTTGTAACTAAAATTACTAGCATTTGAGAAGCTATATCTGCTAATCCTAAAAGTAAAGCTAACTTGTTCTAAAATTAAAATAATCAAGTTATCAGGTCATTGTACCCAAAAAGGCAAGGAAAGCTACATTCACAGATGCTTAAACCTTCAAATATAGAAGCAATAATTGAACTTGGCCATAGCCAGTCTGAAATCACCACAACCAAATCCTTGGAAAAATTAAATATAACAAAATTTACCTTAAAAACAGCCCACCAATCATAACCTTAGATAAATTACGAGAATTTTCTCCATCAGAGACACTGGCCTGCAGGAACAAAACATCCTAATGTAAAGATTCTCCATATCCCAGCATAACTTGACTCCATACCAACGGGCTTGGAAGTGCATGGAAGCAAATATCATGATGTTCATACCATTTCCAAATAAAATAAAGAGCTTTGGAAAGCAGATAATGGAAAGTAAAGGATGGATTATGCTTAGAGCTAGAAGTAATAAGGAGCAATGAGTAGTAATATAGAAGTTCATAAGATCGTGTCAAGGATCTTGGTTTGTTTTTAAATCAAGTAAGAAGCCATCAATGACTATGAAAATATTATCTCAAAACAAGACAACATTTTATAATTTCAATTTCAATTTCAATTTTTCATGTGAAAAGACAGCTAATTACGGCTTTTTAAAATACAATTATGTAATTGTTTATTTTCTCCATGTCCTAAAAATGTGATAAGTTATAATCATACAAGAATTTTCCAGCAGAAACATAAAATAAGATAGATCTATAAAACCAGAATTTAATCAAGAAAATAAGTTCATATTAAGTTAAGAGATCAAGTATCATAGAAAAATACCCGAGAAAAGAGGAGTGACTGCATCAAAAGTTCAAGCTGGAACTCTGCAGGTAAAGTCAAACCATTGGAAAATGTTCTAATGAAATGATGCGAAGTGTGCTTGGGTGGATGTGGCACAGAAAAGTGTAGAGTGAAAGGGAATATACAGTTTGCGCTACCCTGTTTGCAAGTTATTAACAAAAAAAAAAATGCAATGGTAATACAGCAAACACTTCTAACTTTACTCTCCTCCGCACTCCCAACAAGTAGATAGTGGTTTACTCTACAGTCTGACTCCCCATATTTCCAGCCATTTATTCTACTTGGTTTTACCTTCAAACTTCCAAAATTGAGGTCTAAGAGAATGTTATACACTACTCCGAAACGAACACATAAGAACTGCTTGTTAAAATATGGCTGTGTCCATGTGTGTAAAACAAAACAACCAAAAAGGAAACAAACCAGCGTCCTTGATGCAAAGAAATATGTGGTCCACAATGACACAAACTAGAGAGCGTCCTGCTGATTCAACAGATCGCTGTCAGGTCAGAGAGAAAAACTCAGAAAAATTTGCCCATAAACAAGTTAATAAGAAGATAATAGAAATATCAACTGAATGATAGCAGATAAAACTTAAAACCTGCTGAGCTTTTAGATCCACATCTCCTCTATTTAGACATACATATAATCCAGTCAAGAAGCGGAGAAGAGCTCGGAGTCCTACTCACGTGGTTTTCCCACAATAACATACTGTGTTAGTACCATGTATTTAATTCAAAGGGTGAAACAAGCAGTTAGAAAACTGGCTACCTTATTACCTGGTTCACTTAATGCAGGACAAACAGCCTCTGTAACATGTAACTGAACCTCAAGGCCTAGTGGACTGTTTAATTCTGTCCTCTGCACTGTGATCTACGCGCGCGCGCACGGGGCGGGGTGGGGAATAAAAGAGTTAGAATGTCAAGAGTACAAGAATCCCGAAAACCAGAAAACACTCTACACCACACAACAGTTTAAAATAACATAAAGTTCAACAAAATCAATTGAAAATTGTATGATATGATTACATAAGCCTCTCCTGATATGCCTTCAAGAAAACGTTCTCCACCAAAGAAAATACGTTTTGCGCCATCATCATCTCTTTGAGTTGCTCCCTCTTGAGAACGTGCTAAATTAGCATCAGTGAACATATCAGGATGAGGCAAGAGATCAATAGATAGAGATTCCCATTCAAGTTTCTGGAAAGAAAAGAATTTAGCATTAGACACTGAGATGACATATACAACTTATATACTCCTGATGACAGAAATTAAAGACACAAAAAAGTTGACCAAAAGGATAAAAAATTTAACATAAAGAACTGCACGTAAGGAGTGCACATGCCCATATGTGCACATATATATGTAGGAATCGAAGGAATCACAACTCTATGATACGTTACCTTGAAAACATATATGAAATTTTTCTTTGAGGAGAAATCCCGTGCTTCCTTAAGATTTACAACCTAAAAAAACAAATTTGTTCAAATATGCATTTGTACTTCATAAAACAGTTTAACAAGATTATGACACAATAATACACGACTGATTACCTGCCAATTTTCATTAGTGGTATATAATAAAATGTTGCGCATGGTGATAGATGCCATAGGTGATGCCCTGAAAAAATGAAAAACAAGAGTAAGAAAAGCAACAAGGTATGACATCTATGCCAGTTCCATTGACAGTCAAAGAAATTTGTCACTTGAACAAATTAACCTCTTGCAGTGCACAACAACGGCAGGATTACGAAAGATATTTTAGTAATTTATATATAAAGAATGCAAATACTGAAATCCTTCATCAAGGTCTACAAAACCCATAAACAACCAAATGCAGAGAATTATCTGGTTTCCCCCAAAATGGATATATGATAAACAATGATCTCATGCAAAGATGTACGATGTTCATAAATTTTCCTCTTCTTCAATGATGATGTAACTTACTTTTAATGAAATAATACACTGAAGCCTTGCAAGGATCAGACATTTAGACATTGACCGAATGTCAGAGACAGCAATTTCCAAAAATCTAGAGACAACACAGAGCTATATGCATCTTTGATCAGAATTTTTTAGTATCAAACAATACATTTTTAATGATACTGAGGGATTCATTTGCTTGAAAAAATATCATATACAATTAAAAGAAATGCATAAACATAATATATAAGTAAACTTTGAAGAAAAAGGGGTAGTCTTATCATACAATAATTTCCTCTTTTAGTAAGCATATTTTTACAAATTTTTTGTATGTTAAATTAAATTCTAACCATCAATACAAGAGACAGACACAAAAGGAGACAAGTATATCTTTGAGAAGAAGGGTCTCACAGCAACCAAGCAAAACAAGTAAGATACATAGACTGTATGCATATGTCTACTGCCATGCAAGCAAACAGACAGTTTGTTACCAAGTGTTAGCATAAAAACTGAAAACAAAGGAACTTACCAAGCTGCACCCCCTTTGCAACGAGCACCACCATGAGTCTCAAGTAGAAGATTGACTGTCTGAACTTGTAAAGTCATTCCATCTGCAATCTGAAAATAATAAAAGGATAATATGTAAAGTAAATATTTTGTGCTTAAACCCTTGTCCATGTTGCTAATGATATGCATAAACTAGAAATCCAATCAATTAAGTAATTTTGTAGATTTATGTGATGGAATTTTATTTTCACTTATTTAACACAAGTGCAAGATTTAATTGGAGTCCTGTGGAAAACCTAAGAGGTAAAACTGTGTGGAAAACTAAGAGTAAAACTGAATGTATATTGAAAAACTACTCATAAAGAATTATACAAGCACCTTAGGTTTATATACAACTAACTAGTGGGTAAACTAGGAAACTAAATCTTCCTAAAAAATTGATCCTATAATTGAGGGATTGTCTATCCTAATTTTTTGTCCTTAATTCTAGGGATACAAATATAAATATACAGATTACAATATTACAATCAGCTGTAAATAAGTATTTTCCCACACTCCCCCTCAAGCTAGTGAATAGGTATTTTTCATTCCCAGCTTGAAAATAATTTCTAGAAATGTTGCACTGCTGAGACCTTTAATCAACACATCTGCAAGTTGACCCTTGGTTGATACATACAGTGTACAAATCAACCCACTGTCTAGTTTCTCCTTTATGAGATGCCGGTCTACTTCAATGTGTTTTATTTTGTCATGTTGCACAAGATTGTGTGCATTGCTTATTGCAGACTTGTTTTCATAGTAAAGTCTCATTGGTCCATCCCACTTGATCTTCAAGTCTTCTAGGATAATCTTTAACCATAATAGTTCACAAATTCCTTTAGCCATTGCTCTGAACTCTGCTTCAGCACTTAATCTTGCCACCACATTCTGTTTTTTACTCCTCCAAGTCACAAGATTGCCACCTAGGAAAGTACAATAGACTAAGGTGAATCTTCTATCAGTTACTGAACCTGCATAATCTGTATCTGTATATGCCTCTAAAACCAACCCCGAATTTCTTTTGAATAAGATACCTCTCCCAAGATTGACCTTCAAATAGTGCAATATACGATAGACAACCTGTAGGCGCACTTCTTTAGGACTATGCATAAATTGACTTATCACACTCACAGCATATACTATATCAGGTTTAGTATGTGAGAAATAAATGAGTCTTCCAACTAATCTTTGGTACATCTCTCTATCTACAATAGCATCTTCATTAGCTTTTCCAAGTTTATGATTAGGATCTATAGGGTATTTGTAGGTTTACATGCGAGCTTCCCAGTTTCCTTTAAAAGATCCGTCACATATTTTTGTTGTGAGATGAAAATACTGTGCCATGAGTGAGCTACTTCAATTCCCAGGAAGTACTTCAATCTCCCTAGCTCTTTTATCTCAAATTCTCTAGCAAACACTGTTTTAGAGATTCCCTCTCTTTTTCATCATCTCCAATTACAATTATATCATCAATATACACTAATAGAACTGTGACTCTCCCTAAATCAAAGTGCTTGATAAACAATGTGTGATCTCCTTGACTCTGCTTATATCCCATTGCTAGCATCGCTTTGGCAAATCTCCCGAACCAAGCCCTAGGAGACTGTTTAAGGCCATATAAAGCTTTTTTCAGCTTGCATACTTTATTTACTTCTAGATGACCTCCAAATTGTGGTGGAACCTTCATATATATATTTCTTCTTCCAAATTACTATGTAGAAAAGCATTTTTTACATCAAATTATTGAAGCTGTCAATTGTAATTTGCAGCCAATGATAACAAAATCCTAACTGTATTCATCTTGGCAACTGGAGCAAAAGTTTCATGATAATCCACTCCATAAGTTTGAGTGTAGCCCTTAGCCACTAACCTAGCTTTATGCCTTTCAACAGTACCATCCGCCTTGTATTTTATAATGAAAACCCATTTACACCCAACTGAATTTTTTTTTTTAGGCAACTCTACCAGTTTTCATGTCTTATTTTTCTCTAAAGCCTCCATTTCTATTTTCATAGCTTGCCTCCATTTCTCACTGGATAATGCCTCGGATAATACAGTTGGAACAGAAATAAAGTTTAGGCTCACAAGAAAATTTTTGTGGGACGGGAAGAAATTTTCAATTGACACAAAATTAGAGATTGGTATAGTGGATACTTAGTACATTCTTTGGTTCCTTTCCTAATGGCAATAGGCAGATCATAATCACTAATTATAGTTTTAGGAGATTCATGCTCATTTTGAGAAACAGAGTCAAAGACTGTAGTTACCTCATTTCCAGAATTAGGATCAGTTTCTTTGACTGACATTGGTTCAAGATCTGAAACTTTTCTTCTTGAGTACACCTGTAATTCCTTCATAGAATCAATAACAATATTATCCTTTGTCACATCTTCTTTGTTTAGAATGGGTTCAAACTCAAATTCAGTGTTTGACTTGAACTCAGATGAAACAGGTTTCGACTCAGAAAGATCAATGGATGAAAATATTGAAGAAAAGACAAATTAAGCAAAAAAAAGTCTTTATCCTTATTCTCCATGAATGAAGTCTCCCTTTGAAGATAAAGTTGAGTAAAAAATGGTTTACTTTCTTCAAAAGTGACATCTCCAGACGCATAGAATTTTTTGATAGGAGGATGATAACACTTGTAGCCTTTTCTGAGTTGATGAATATCCCACAAAAATGCACTTAATTGCTTTAGGATCCAACTTTCCCCTATTGTGACTGTGAACATGAACAAATGATGTACAACCAAACATCCTAGGTGTGAGATTGTTTGTGGTATTAAAATTGAGATAGAATTGTAAGATTAGTTCCATAGGAGTTTTAAATCCCAAAACCCTTGAAGGTAACCTTTTATAATATGTGTGGCAATGAGAAGAGCTTCCCCCCGGTAGGAATTAGGTACATTTGCTTGAAAAAGTAAAGCTCGGGTTGTGTATAGTAAATGACTGCTTTTCCTCTCTGCCACTCTATTTTGCTGTGGAGTATTAACACGAGATGACTCATGGATAATCCCCTCATTTTGGAAATAAATAGATAAACTCTGGTTGAAATAGTCTCTTGCATTATCATACCTAAATCTCTTGATTTTCACTCCAAATTGATTCTGGATCATGTTTTGAAAGCTTAAAAACATACTATTCACATCTGATTTGGATTTAAGTAAAAATACCCAAGAGACCTTGGCACAATCATCTATGAAACAAACAAACCACCTTGCACCCAAAATATTAGGAATTGTAGAGAAACCCCATATGTCACTATGAATCAAGTAAAAAAGAGTAGAACTTCTTTTATTACTAACTAATAAAGACACATGTCTATGCTTTGCAGATTCACAAACATCACAATGAAAATTTTCAGCATTTAATCCTTTGAACAAAGAAGGAAATATGTTTTTCAAAGTTCCAAAAGCAAGACATCCAAAGCAAAAATGATAAAGCCAGCTTTTGTCTTTATTGAGAGATTTTTCAGAAAGAAATGACAAAGGTAAACTATTCTTGATATTATTTACGTTGTTTGATGTATCAAGATAGTATAGTCCATCCTTCTCTTTAGCAAGTTCAATCCTCTTCCCCGAACTCTGGTCTTTAAATTCACAATAAGAGGGATAAAAAGTCACTTTGCAATTCATATCTCTGGTAAGTTTTTGTATGGATATCATATTAGTAGACAATCCAGGAACATGAAGAACATATTTAAGAACAAACGAGGGATCAATTTGAACATCTCTTAATCCTGCCACTGTAGTAAGTGAACCATCTGCAACAACAATTTTTTTATTACTAGGACATAGGGTATATGTACTAAACTTCTGTAAAGAATGTGTCATATGACCTGTGACTCCTGAGTCAATGACCCAATAACCCGTAATAGGCTTAACCAAGATATTTAATCCATGAGAACCAAAAGTTTTATCTGAACTAGAGACCTTACCCAAGGAACATACCCCAGTAGGCCTTTCAAGGGTTTTCAATAGACTTCTCAGCTTCTCAATCTCTTCTCTATCCAACTCTCCTTGTTTCCAAGACATCTGTAGTACTCCGATGATTTTTCCAGTTGACACTTCCTCAAATTGGGTGATAGTGATATCTTTCTTTGAACTGAAAGAAGTCTTAAGATATAACCAGAAATGACTCTTAGCAATTAAGGCTAAAGAAGGGAAAAATAAAATGGCTATGAATGCCTTAACAGGGTTTGGCAATGAAAGCCTAAAATAAAAGTCAGCAATGAAGGCTGAAAATTTTGCTTCCCAAGAAGAGCCTAAAGCTCTGATACCATGTGGAAAAAACTAAGAGGTAAAACTATGTGAAAAACTAAGTGTAAAACTGAATGTTTATTGAAAAACTGCTCATAAAGAATTATACAAGCATCTTAAGGTTTATAAACAACTAACTAGTGGGTAAACTAAGAAACTAAATCTTCCTAAAATACTGATCCTATAATTGAAGGATTGTCTATCTTAAATTTTTTGTCCTTAATTCTAGGGATACAAATACTTAATTCTAGGGATACAAATATAAATATACAAATTACAAGATTACAATCAGCTGTAAATAAGTGTTTTCCCACAAGTCCAAAATTATAATAACGCAATAGCAAATTTGAGATAAAGTAGGCACTACAAATGTGCTAATCTTGTAGCATTTAAATCCATACATGGTTTGATATTCCAAGGCAAATAGTTATCTACAACCTTACCAAGGATAGGACTAACCTTGTCAGCAAACCCATAACCGCTACCCTTCCCTGAGGTGGTGGATGATTGCATGCTGTAAGTACAGAAGCAGATAAAGTCGCTTTTAAGAACAGTACAACATTCCAAACTAAAAATTTTACGAATGTGATAGCAGTTGTGAAACATAACGTTGAGCGAAGGTGAATCTAGATTACCTGCTTGAGCTCCTAGGAGAATCAACATCCAGATTTTCCTCCAGAACCAAATCAAGCCTATCAATTTGCACAACAATTGGCTCGATCTGTACATTACTGACATAGGGGAGCTATCACAAAAAAGAATTAATTTAGATAAAATTATCAGTTCAAGAAAATAGGATCAAAACCAGCTCAGAGGCAAAAAACAAAAGTCGAGAACAATTTCAACCTTACAATTCTATTGTTTCAGTTCCCAAAATTATCTTTCCGCATTTAGTTTGAGTTGAGCAAGTGAAGATGAATTTTCCATTTAAGAGATCAGAGAAAATTAAACGTAAAAAGCAAATCCAAAACTAATAACATTTAATCACAAAATTCATCCTAACAAAAAAAAGCAAAAATGAAACGAATTCTCCAATTCATAGTAGCTATGCACAAATAAATTACTATTAAAAACCTCGTAACTTCAATTGTTTCCATAAATCATCAAATAAACATTTTTAGCTTAACCAAAGCTGAAATCTAATCAATTCCCTAACTTTACATCTCAAAGTCTTTATAAATTCCAAATTAAAACTATAAATTAACCTAAATAATCATCAATTTCTCAATTCAAAATCCAAAAAAAAAAAAAAGTAGAAACTCACAATTATCTCCAATTTCCCAACTTTCGCTGTCGTCACATTCAAAGCCGGCGGCAATCCCATACTCGCATGCAAAGCTTCTCCATTTATATCTATCAAATAACAAAAAAAAAATTAAGAAACTAATAATGGGAGCCTAATTTTAGATCCAAAAATCAAAAGAATTACCTAAATTGGAAAGTTGTACAGTACGGCCTTGTAATTTGAACTGATCTCTTGAGAAAGATTTAAGCCAGTACTTCAAAGTGTACTCCAATGCTCGAGCTAAAATCGACTCCATTTTCAGATTGAACAAACAAAAAACTTTCAAGAAATTTTGTTCTAGACTGAGGATTTCATAAAAAAATGGAAGAAAATTCGAAAAATGTGGGGGACAAAACCCTAATTTTGAAGGAGTTTTAAGATTGATGATGGGAATTTATTTTTTTAATTTAATAATTTATTTTCGGCTGGGGGAATCTTAGAACAGAGAAAGGAAGGGGGAAGAAGAGAGGTGGCACGTGCGAGTTCAGGGATGGCACGTGCGAAAGATGGGTTCCTGAAATGTACGTTGGATCTCGGGGATGTGTCAGTGTCAGTACCAGTGGGGGATTTGTCGGTTTGTATAAAGCAAGGAAAGAATTGGCTAAAAAAAAATATTAAGCAAGGAAGGAATAAAATAAAGTGGAAAAAAGGAAAATATATTCAAAAATATTTTTTTTGGATATTTTATAAAATAAATTTTATTGTCATTTTTTTCTATTTTTGATTGTTAAAACTTTTCAATTTTTTACTCTGTGTTTCGATTTTCAGTTTTTTTTGCAAATATTTGTAAGCTATTTATGTTTGATTTAAATAAAATTTAAATTTAATTTAATTATTATTAAATCAAACTCAAGGTCAAATAATTTAATTTTTTAAACAAGTCAAATTTATATATTTTAATATCTAATTTATGTAATTCATAAATTTAATTAAATTTTTAAATTTTAATATATTTTATTATTTTAATTAAAAAATTATTATCTTACTTTTATATATATAAATTTGAACTTGAACTTGAGTCGAACATATAATTGAGTTTAAAATTAAGCATGATAATCGAATTTATTTTTATTAAATGAGATTAATCAAGTGAATTTGAATAATTTTATTTTTATTTTCAGTTGACTTTGAATTTAAAAATTAAAATTCAATCAAATTTTAGTTAAATTTTTAATAATAAATTTCGAACTATATCAATTAAATTCGACTCTATTAGGTATCTAAATCTCACTATTTTATTAGATTTTCCTTTTTACGGTAGACATTATAAAAATGCACGAAATTTTGTGCAAATATATATTTGAGTTATGGTACTTCTAGTTAATGTGATCAACGTTCCTTAGATATTATGTTCATTTAAAAACATAAAAGATTTTTTTTTTATAAAAAATATTGTAATACAAGGATAAAAAAAAACTATAAGTACTAAAACTTAAATTTTTGATTTATTAAATGTTATCTTTTAATGATGATAGTATAAATTAATTAAACTAATCTCTAGAATTTAAAAAATTAATGATTTGATTAAATTAAACCAAACAAAGTGAGATGGCTTAACTATATATTTGAAAATAGCTTAGTAACTTTTTAATACTTTATGCCTAAATTTTGTACATTAAATTGCTTGATTTATTTATAAAAAATAGACCTTTGATTTGAGAAAGAAGTATTTGGTTCAATTATAACATATATACCTTTGGATGCCTTTGTACATTAGCAAATTATTAAGGTTCGACTCAAATGAAATTAAAATTTGATTCAATTATTATCGAGTCAAGTTTGAGTTTGAGTAATTCAATTTATCGATTGAGCTGAATTTGAATATTTTTATACTCAACTCTAATAACTCGTAAATTTAATTGAATTTTTATATTTTAATATATTTTAATTAATAAAATGATCGTGAATAATTTGATTTTTATTTTAAATTAAATTTGAATTAAAAAATAAAATTTAATTAAATTTGAGTCAAAATTTAAATTTTAAATTTTGAATTTAAATTTAAATTTAATAATATATCAATTCAAACCGATCGCTTATACTTCTATTTTGCACATGAGAAATGTACAAACCTTTTTGTTAGTGTAAAATTACTTTGAACTAGTACAGCTGGTTTCAAGTTTCAACCCCCTTTATATCATGAACCCAAAATTTCAAACTCTGGTCATGTGGGAATTCTACTCAATTTGGAATTTATGGTTGAAAACAAACTCCTAACATTTTTCCAAATTTAATTAAGGATTTAATGTGTTGTTAGGTCAATGGTATCAAAGTTGGCTTTAAAATCGAATATTTTGAATTCAAACTTTAATTATAATCTAAAAATTAAAAAATTAATTAAAAATTATTATTTAATCCATATATATATATTATGCGTAAACATATTTAAAATATTGAATCATATTTATTTAAAATATATTTAAGAATAATAAATTACTTAATTTATCACATGAATAAATACATGACAATCATATAAATTTGCTTATGGAATTAAAAAAAAATTATTTTGATTTGGTTTTTATTGAAATTTAAATCGAATTAAAAAATTTTAAAATTAAAATATTTTGGTTTGATTTTATTTTTCCTTAAAATCAATTCAAACAGGACCATGCTGACTGGACATATCTGCTGGGGATTAAATTTCTATTGTTTGCTTTTTGGTAATGCTCAGCCAGCCTTATAGCATGGCCACACTTAAATATTGATTAATGGTTCCAAGGGAGGTTGGAGTGGAAGAATAGACAAGGTCTCAGTGTGACGGATCTAAAGAGGAGTCTTGAATCTCACATCGAATATAATAGAAGGGTCACTGAGGTATAAAAATGTTCACATCATCTTTTTCTTGTGAGACACCTTTTGTAGGATAAAATCGTGAGGTCAATGAGATCAGAGCGGACAATACCTCATAAGAGTGTGAATTGTGGCGGTTAGGCTGATCTGGAAAGGTGAATGCCCGAGTCCCGGAGCCGCGCGAGTTCGGAGCTTAAGTCTCGATCTGTGACAAATGGTATCAGAGCCAGCCCTAAACCGTTCAATCCACATCGAGCGCCTCGAGGAAGGTAGGCAGGGTGGCCAGCCTCCATGACGAGGACGTCACGAGGTTGGATGCGGGAGAATGTCACGGACCTAAGGGAGAGTCCTGAATCTCACATCAAACATAATAGGAGGGTCACTGGAGTATAAAAGGGTTTACACCATCTCTTCCTTGTGAGGCGCCTTTTGTAAGATAAAATGGTGAGGTCAGGAGGATCAAAACGGACAATACCTCACAAGGGTGTGAATCGTGACGGTCAGGTTGATCCGAAAAACCGAAAGGATGAATATCCGAATCTCAAAATCACGCGAATTCAGAGTTTAAATCTCGATCCGTGACACTAGATCATGCTTTGCCGTCAATTGATTGGCATCAACCTTCTCCTTTCCTTTCATGGATGTTGCATTTGTCACATTCGGTGGATTAACACAACTAATTAATTCGAATTTAAATCAATTAAAATTAAATTATGAGTACTTATAATAATATTATATTATAATATATCCGATCACGTAATATAATTTTAATTAAATGTGATCTCGTTATAATTATATATTTAAATTTATAATAAAATAAATCAATTTTAAATAACACATTAAGAGAAGTCTACGCTCTAATTTTTATGTTTCATTACTTTTAATTTTAGATAAAAAATAATTATTTTTTTTTTTTTTGTTATACGAGTTTTTGTTCGAATTTTTTAAGGAAATATCAAGAAGCTCGTGACAGCTACAATACTTTCGTGAACCTTAATTAAACAAAATTAAGCTCTCGTCGGCATCTAAATTAATTTTAATTTTGTTTATAAAATATGTTAATGATTTGATGAGATTTTGTTCAAATCCAACACATGTGGCATAGGTTCTATTAATTGCTTTCTCGTTTCGATATGGTAAATGAATCAATTGAAAGAAAATGGTAATGAACTTTTTTGAGGAGTTTTCTTATGATGATAACCGATTCTCAACTTCTAACTCTCGCTTAAGCATTATTTATCATAAATGAAGCACTCTTAAATAGAAATGACAATACGACGAATTTTTATTCGTTTTGAATTGAATTTGATTTTATATTTATAATATTTAAATTTAATTAGATATGATTATTTTTTTAAAAAAAATTTTACATTAAAATTTGATTCGATCTGATATTATATAAAATATATCTGATTTGATTTAATTAAAAATTAATAAAATATTATTTTTAACATAAATATAAATATATATAATTAAATAAATAACTAAAAAATAAATTTTTATCCATACTAAATCAAATCAGGTTGAGATGGATTTATCTAAAACTCATTTCGACCTTACTCTAATTTTATTCTATAATTATCTGATTTAATTTGATTCAAAACTCAATTTAAAAACAATTAATTTAAAAAAAATTAAATTATATCAAAACCTATCAACCTTGATGTCCAACCGCGTAGGGCAAGCTAAGTCGACAATGAGAGATATGTCATAATTTGAACTTTGTACCTTGTTCCTTGTACTTTGTAACTTGTGTTGGAACCTCGAATTTTAAATCTCAAACTTTTCTAAGGTGAAAGGAGAGTTATTGTGATATACTGATTTTATGTCGGGACATTTTGATTATTTGTTATATAAATAAAAATTTAAATACATATATTTTTTAAAAAATTAAAAACATATTTATGTAATATTTTTTATAAAATAAAATTGTGAAATTTTAAAATTTAAATTAGTAATATCTTATAAATTAATATGTGAATCTCTTTACAAATAATACATCGTAAAAATCACTTGTAAATATTCGAAAAATTAAATGTTATACTATAAAAATTTCATTTAAAATCTTAAGCACACGAGGGCTTGCTATGAATTGGGCCACCTATTTGAAGGCTGGTAATGGACTGGATCAGCATTAAAAATGCAATTCTAAACCTTGTCCAAAAAAAAAGTGTTCAAGACTGCCCAAATGTTGTTCAATTTATGGGCTTGGGGAGCCGCAAAGTTTTTTTTTTATTCAAGCCTCGACAAAGATCGGGAGAAACGAAAAAATTTTTTTGAGACAAACAAACATAAGAATTTTTGAGAGAGACGGAAAAAAAAAAAAAAATATATATATATATATATATACATACATATAGAAAAACTAAAAAAAATTATTATTTTCTTCATTATCCAATCACTTGCTCTCTCTAAAATCTTTCCTATTTCTCTCTTGTTTCTCTTTTTTTTTTTATGTGTAATATTTTAATTTTTCGTTTAATTTCAATCAAGATCATTTTTTGAAAATTTTAAATTTGTATCATTTTTTATAAAATAAATAATATTTTAATATTTTAAAAAACAACGAAAATCAAAATCAAAACGGTTTTTTTTTTTTTTCATTAAAAAAAAATCTCTTTGTAACCAGCTCAACTTCTAAATAATAACAGTGAAGGCCTCAAGATGAATGAGAATCATTTTTTTTTATAAAGAAAAAACTTAATTATGGATTTGGAATAGTTGGTTAATTACTTTATTTTTTTTACTAAGCAAATTAATTAAGAGTGATCACTAATTATAATTAACACCACATGTATGTTTAGTGACCAATTTTTATAATTTAATGATAATAATTAAATGCTTAAACTAACATGATTAAATTCCAATATGAATAATCACTTTTAAAACAAAAATTAGTATTTGCAAAATTGCAATTATTAATTGGCCGCTTGGCCTTATTTGATAATCATTGAAATTTTTTTATAGCATTGAAAATGAAATTTTCAACACTTTAATTTTTTCAATGTGTTTGATAATATATTTTAAAATTCACTTAAAATTTTTTTTTAATAAAAAGTGTTGAATGACATTTAATTTTCAACAAAATATCAAACAATTTTATAATTCAGATTCAATACTTATCAAATTTAGTATTACAATTCAATGCTTAATTTTTCAACACTTAATTTTCCAGTTTATCAAACATAACCTAAACACCATGATATATATTTGTCATAATTCTATTTTTTACCATCTTTCCTACATACTTTAAACTATAATTTTTTTAATTAAAATTTAATTTAGTTGGTTCAAATTTCAGCAACTACAATCCTTTTATATATCCTCATATTGGGCCTCATTTATAAAAAAAAAATTATTAATTTTTTATAATATGAGCATAGAGTAGAATTTAATACATGCAATGCAAATGCACCCTATTTTTGTTTTTGTTTAATAGCAAATGCACCCTATTAATAATAATTTGATGGTATATGATAGTGATTATACAATTAGGTGCTATATCACCTCAAAACCAGTAAGAATTTGCCATATCAGAAAATATAGATAGTCAAATTGTCATTATTTCATATATGATTGTTTTATAGGTAAATTGATTCTCTTTGACCAGGTGATGTTAATTTATAGCTTTTTTGCACATATATATATATATATATTTATATTTAAGGTGATGTTATGGCTTTCATGCGTATAGAAAATGTAGTTCAACGTAGTTTCATACATGAAAGAAAATAACTTTGGAATTATTTCAATCACATCAGATGTAGATTTAATTTTGCCAAGTATAGTTTAAATGAGATCAAATTAATATATATATATATATATAATATACAATGAGTTGACGTTATTTTAAAATATAATAATCATGGAATATATTGATAGAACATTAAACTATTAATTTGAATGATAAAAAATCAAACTGTGAGGAATGATGGATGATAATATATGGAGCAGATATTTATATAGTACAAAAAATATATGAAAGCTTTGTGAAATGAAAGTTAATAAATTATAAAAAATATATGAAGCAGATGTTCTTGTGTTTTCACTCCAACAGCCAAAGTCCCTGTGATTCAACCCCATTTCATAGAGATTACAGAAAGAGAAAGTAATTTTCCATTTACAAATACTGTTCCGTCAAAGTTCAAACTCTTGTTCTTTTCCATGCCTTTAAAAACATAAACCTCCATGTGGAGGCAAAGCTAAGTAACACCAAACAAAATTTTCCCATTATTTTTATTTTATTTTTGTTTTCAGGTTTTTGTTTCTGACGGATATGATCTCGACTTCAAAACCAAGCCAAACCTCCAAAACTCAACAAAACAAAGTCTCATGTCTTTTTCTCTTTAACAACACCTTCTTATAGACCTGAATATATATAAACTTCCATGGAAACCCCCTTTAAATGTTTAGCCTGAATGCTAAGCAAGGTTAGGTAACTGACAGCTACAGTTTAAAACACACCCTTTGTCACGGCATTTTCTTACTTGGGTTTCTCCCTATTCCTCTGTTGTCAGTTCTTCTTCAGCTTGAACTCAATACCATTTGCAAAATAAATTGTGAAGAAGAACTTTAGAGCATCACCTGGAGGCTTTATTTTTGGTTCTGCTTGCTTGCTTTTAGGTTTTTGCTGTTTATTTGTTCTCTTCTCTCTCAGACAGGAAACAAAATGCAGCTTCATATCTCTCCAAGTTTGAGGAATGTAACAGTACTTCCAGGCAAAGGTGTTAGAGAATTCATCAAAGCCAAGGTTGCTTCCAGGAGGGTTTCTTTTCGAATGCTTTTCTGTTCACTTCTCTTCTTCACATTACTTCTTTGGTTTGTCTTTGTTTTGTCAACTGTTGATACCATTGACGGAGATAATTCCAAGTGTTCCACCATAGGTAAGTTTGTTTTTTTTTTTTTTTTTTGCTGCATTGATGTTAAGAGTTCATGGAGAATGTACATGTTTTACAAGATTTGAGACAATGAATAACAAAGCAATTCAAAACCCAATGTTGCTGTCAGACAAAAAACAAAAAAAAAAACTAGTTTATATATCTATAGGATAATGTCATATTATTAAATAAATTTTACTTCTGATAGAAAGTACTCAGAAAATATCACTAAAGGTTAAAAACATTGCTTAAAGCATTTTCAAATAAATTTATATCTGCTGTACCTTGAAAAAACTGATGTTGGCAGTAAACCCAAATAAAAAAAGTTGTTGATTATCCATATATAGTTTTTATTATTCATTGATCATTATAGAATTTTGATTAGTTAATATGGTATCTTATAATAATATATAAAGAAATAACATAGGAGAGATTCGAATTCGAGGCTTAACCGTTGATTCATGTTACTGCTTTTAACAAGTGGATATCTAATACGTTTGAGTTCAAATCCTAGAACAAATCTTGCATCGCCTTTTCTTATTTTTCAGTTACGATCTCCTTAACAATTTGTTCTTGCTTAGCAAGAAAAATAGTAATAATAATAGTAATATATTTGGGCTTTTTAATTAATTACTGATTATTATATTTGTTTATGATAGCTTGCTTGGGAAAAAGGATAGGACCAAGGATCTTGGGAAGAAGGATTGAGTCAAATGTAAATTCCTAATCTCATTTCTAGTTATTAACTAAATATTTCATTGATTTCTTTCTTGTTCAAATATTAGGTAATACTTAGGAATATCAGTTTTTTAAGTAACTGAAATGATTTTGTGGTTTATTGAAGGTCCCTGAGGTGATATACCAAATACTGGATGAACCAGTAAGCAAAGATGAATTACAGGGAAAAACTGGTATTCCTCAGACATTACAAGAGTTTATGGCTGAAATGAAAAAAAGCAGATCAGATGCAAAAACCTTTGCTCTAAGGCTTAGAGAAATGGTATTCACTTTGAATTTTTTTCTCATGTTTTCTTTATAAAGTAGGCCGCAACCTGAGATAAGAGACAGGTTCTCAAGTTGCAGGTGCTGGAATTTGAACTCCAAACCTGTTAAATGACACTCTTAAAAGTGGTTGCATGAAGTAACTAGCTATGGTCTGGGTTCATTTTTTCTAGTGTTTTCATATTTTAAGTTAGTTATGAAATGATCACGAAGTGATAGGTAGAGAAATTTTGATCGTAATGAACAATTTGACATGGTTTTTCTTCAGGTAGTTCGACTTGGACAAAGAGCCAGAACAGCCAAAATCCAAGAATATTTTTACCGCCATGTAGCATCAAGCAGCATACCAAAACAGCTGCATTGCTTGGCCCTAAAGCTAGCCAATGAGCACTGCAACAATGCAGCTGCTCGCCTTCAGCTCCCCTCAGCAGAACTCGTCCCTGTCCTTGTCGACAACTCTTACTTCCACTTCGTCCTTGCCTCAGATAATGTGCTTGCAGCTTCAGTTGTTGCAACATCCCTTGTTAAAAACGCATTAGGCCCTGAAAAATTTGTACTACACATAATAACAGATAGGAAAACTTACTCCCCTATGCAGGCCTGGTTTTCTTTGCATCCTTTAGCGCCTGCTATAATTGAGGTTAAGGCATTGCATCAATTTGATTGGCTTTCAAAAGGGAAGGTGCCTGTTCTGGAAGCAATGGAAAAAGATCAAAGAGTAAGGTCACAGTTCAGAGGGGGCTCATCAGCAATTGTAGCGAATAATACTGAGCAGCCTAGAGTTATTGCAGCAAAACTACAAGCACTCAGTCCCAAGTACAACTCCTTGATGAATCACATTCGGATACATTTACCCGAGGTAATGTATAAACTACATGTTGTAACTTCAGTAGACAGAAAGGAAAGAAATATTTCAAGTTCTAAGAGCCTTTCTGAACTGCCTCTTTTTGCAGTTATTTCCCAGCCTCAACAAAGTAGTCTTCCTAGACGATGACATTGTGATACAGACAGATCTTTCACCTCTATGGGACATTGATATGAATGGAAAAGTTAATGGAGCAGTGGAAACATGTAGGGGTGAAGATACATTTGTCATGTCGAAGCGGTTGAAGAGCTATCTTAACTTCTCCCATCCTTTGATTGCAAAAAATTTTGATCCTAATGAATGTGCATGGGCATATGGCATGAACATTTTTGATCTTGAGGCTTGGAGGAAGGCCAACATTAGCCTTACATACTATCACTGGCTTGAGCAGGTAATTTCCATTATAAATATCTTTAATTTTAGTTACTTCTCTTTTTTGGTACATAAGAGGTCGTAGTCTAGGAATAAGGGAAGGGGTTGCAGGTTAGGATTGGAACTCAAAGACATGCTAGATGCTATCTTTTAAGGGTGGCTACATGAACTAGCAAAGCTAAACTCTGGTTCAGTAACTTCTTTACTCAGGGAAGATTTTTTTTTTTTTTTTGTGATTTTTGGGTTTCTAGCAATCTGAATTCCTGACTAATTCAATTACCTCTGCAGAACTTGAAATCAGACATCAGTTTATGGCAACTTGGTACTTTACCCCCTGGTCTAATTGCATTCCATGGTCATGTTCATGTTATTGACCCTTTTTGGCACAAGTTGGGATTGGGGTACCAGGATAAAACAACTTTAGCTGATGCTGAGAAAGCTGGGGTCATCCATTTCAATGGCAGAGCAAAGCCTTGGCTTGACACAGCCTTCCCTCAACTTCGACCTTTGTGGGCTAAGTACATTGATTTCTCAGATAAATTCATCAAGGATTGTCACATTAGGGCATCCTAACGTGGATTTTGAGAGAGTATAGTAACCATAATGATGATAAAATATGTTTGTATGTAAGAAAGGGAAGGGAAAGTTCTTTAAAAATTCAAGGCCTTCAACACAGATTCTGAAATGATAACAGCAACAGGCTTCTGATTTTTTGAAACTCTTCTTCCCTGGTTGTGAAATCCATCACTCACTCTTCCCTTCTGACGATTTCTCTTTTTTGTTTTTAATTTGTTTTCCCTTCTGTATCGAGATAAAGCATCTTCAAGATTGAAACTCACTAGCATTTATTTGTTGTAGCATACCAAAAATGTCTAGAAGATGCAAAACCTCTTGTTCTTGAGACTTATTGAAGACCCACAAAATGAAGCTTGCAAATAAGGCATGGATGTAACTGTTTCGGATTCAGAAATGTACCATAAGGCATCTTCGCCACATTGGATCATTTGGATAGGTTGTTAGATTAATTTTCGATTGATATTAAAAATATTGGTGGCAATAAAAATTTTTATTTTTACACTAAGATACTCTGATTGCCCTAGTCGGAGCAATTGCACCACAAGGTACTATTCAAATGCACCCAATGAGTATGGTTAACCAAAAAAAGGCTACCGTGGAATCTAAACTATCACTTAATCAACTAAACATGAAATTAAATAATTAGAATTGTGATATTTATCAATAAAAATTAATAATAAAACAATTGAGATTGTGTCAAAAAGCTAAAGTTCTATTTCGCTGCAATTTAAATTTTAAATTCGTTAAATATCATTTTTTTAAAAAAATAATTATATGAATAAAATGAGATAGATTTTGAGTTTCATTATCAAATAATTTACTAATGATTTATCCGTTCTCTCGTAAATTAGACAGGACAACAGCAAAACCTGTAATGTACATTAATCAACTGAACAAGCAATGACGCATTTATAGATTTATGGTTATCCAGCGTTGCCCAAAAGGTGATAATGGATACAGAACTGGCTGGTGAGCTATGGCATCATATTCAAAGGATTCAACCCTCAACATCAACAAGTATGATAGGTTGCTGCCTTTTTAAGCTACAAGGCTAGTTCAACTGCTTGATATGTCCATTTGACAATATTTTTTACTCACAAAAGTACGAAAAAGGAAAAAAAAAAAAAGCATAGCAAATGTGTAATTTTTCATCTTGGAATGTTGTTTCCAATATTCTCATTTTCCACGTTGCCAAAGACATTTTTTTTTCATGTTTCTCAGCCCATGTCCATTTCTGACAGCAATCCTTCGTATTCATCATTTTTTTTATAAGAGACTATTAGCATATGGATAGAAATTTTTTTTTATTTTTGCGTCGACTTATCTATCATATCGATTTGATATATATAATATTACGTAAACTCGATTATGTCACTATTTTATTTCATAAATCTTTTATATTTCACCTATAAATAAAATTATTCATGTATTATCAATCGAATTTAATATTTCTCTTACTTTTTCACTTTTCTCTCCTTATCTCTCTTGTTTCAATTTTTAACTTGAGTGACGGAGTACAAAGATAAAGAGCATCTCTTATTTTTGCTCTTAACCGCTCACTTTCTCTTTTATGATTTCAAATCATGATCTTCAATTTGAAGCTCGACATTTACAAGAGTTACTCGATATTAAAAAATTCTCATATTAGAATACACAAAATATCAATCTAAATAAATGTAGAAAAATACAAAAAAAATCAAATTCAAAGAAGCAGAAGTCCAATACAACTAGTAGTCAATCAGACCACAGTTATCAAAATCGGATTAGACATTAAACTATTCAATATTCTGGATTATTGAGTTAATAGTTCAACGATTGGATCAATGGGTCAATTGTCGATTTAATAAAAAATATTATAAAAAATATAAATATTTTAAAATTTCAAAATTCAAACTTTTAACTAAAGTTATAGTTTAATAATTTAATCATAAAACTATAAATTTTAAGGTATATCATAAAATACTAATTTTAAAATATAAAATTCATAAAACAATTAATTACTGGTTAAAAATAAAAGTACTTAACATTTTATTAAAATCATATTTTATATTTTAATAGTTAAAAATAATATTTATATTTTAATAAATATAATAATTAATAAATAATTATTATTTATATTTATTAAAATATAAATATTATTTATTGATATATAATAATTAATCTTTATGTAATAAAAAAGAAATATCTATATATAAAATTAATAAAAAGGAAATATTTATATTTATATGAAAATTAGTAAAAAAGAAATTAAAATCATTTTTATATTTTTATATGAATGTAGATTTATTTATTAATTTTACATATATACATTTTCTTTTATTAATTATTTCGATCATAGTCAAATAATTAATCATTTTTGTTAACATTTTATTTTTTATTAATTTTATATATTATTATTTTTAAAATTATTTTTAATTATGGTATCAATTAATAAAATTTTTTGTTAGATCATCTTTTTTTGAAAATTACTTATTTTTATACATGTATAAGTTTTTTTACAATATCATTATCCATGTGTTTCAAAATATACTAATATATCATTAATACAATGACGCAAATGTTTTGATAGTAAAAAATAAGAATTGGAGGTTTATTTATATGAAATAGTAGTATAAAGATTTAATTAGATTATTTCAAATATTTGAAGGATTTTTTTTTTTCATATTTTACCTAAACTTATTAATTGATATTAAATCAATCTAGTAAAAAAAAATCATTTAATTTACTAATTTATTGTGTAAACCATCGATTTATAACGGTTTAAAGCAGTTTAATTGTAAAATTGATTTAATTACAAAATCAAATTGATTTCGACTTTGATTCATGGATTCACCTAATTGAACTGACAATCCAATCTGATTCTAATAACTATGAATCAGAATGCAACTGATGCATTAGAAAAATTCAATTACACTACCTTTTTTCCAGTAACATTAGACCACAAATCTGTCAGGAAGGCAGATTTTGTAATAGGTGAATTGATAGCCATCAAATTATACAACACATTCTCAGCTTCCTTCAATTCACCATCTTCAACAGGAACCGCCCATTGCTCTCCACTCAAAACCCCATCTCTCACACACTTGAAAACCATTCCTTTCCTTGTTTACTCAAAACACCTCTAAACTCTAAGCCTATGAATGAATAAATCAATTCAAAAGATCATACAAATCCTTTCAAATCACCAAAACCACTCTCTTCCTCAGAACCCCATTTGGGATTGAAAAGCACCAATGGCTGGCTTTGGATACAAACTGTCAGCTATTGTTTTTATAAGAGCAAGATTCGAAAGCTCTGCTGCCCAAAAAACCTGCTACATCTGCAGCAGAACTCAAAATCCTGCTATTTCTGTTAACTGAAGGCAAGTCAATACGTTCAACATGGCTCAATGGACACGGTTCAAAATCTTGAATTCCAGCTTCTTTTAAGCTAACATTATGACAAAGAATTAAAGTCTGAACTAAAGAACCTTTCCCTTTGATGGACATCTTTAAAGATATCACGAGCTTGTTGGGAAAGAGCTAAAGTTGAGTAATCAATGAGTGGGATTTCAACTTGGAACCTGTTTTTTTAGCTTCTTGAGCTTGCCTGCTAGCTTGGGATTGTTGACTAGCTTCTCTAAGCAGGTGGAATGGCTTGCTTCTCTGTTCTAAAAGCTCTTCTCTATTTGGTTCCAAATTCCCTCTTTTCTGGTAGGGCTAATGTGGATCTGAATGACTCGTATACAACTACAGGCTTATAGAACAGAGGAACATAGGTTGGCAAACTAACTTATTAAAAATTTACATGTGATTACCAGCATCAAATCATAAGAGTACAATGACAGTGACCCAACAAATCCAGTTAGAAAACTTCAGTAAAACCTAAAACAGCCCAGAACAATGACAAAACGAATACACTTGTTTGCATCAAAATGCAATTGACGCAAACACAAATCACTGTAGGTTGCCAGCTTATGCAACAGGAGGGCGGAGTACATGATCCTGTGAGGTATCCACCGCTGCAGGTGGCATGAACTGCCACATGGCAACTCCAGGATAACTAATGAAAGGAACCAATTTGTTCCCAGATGCTTGACCTTGGGCAGCAGCAAATGCAGCAGGGATTACAGGTGCGGGAGGCATGAAGCTAGGTTGTGCATTCATGGCTTTGAGTTGCTGCTCCACCTTTTCCTTCTCGGCCTTCAGCCTCTGCTTTTCGTCACGAAGCTCATTCTTTTCAGCCTGAAAAAGAGGAAATACGGTCTAATATGATGCAATGGATGTACTTGATGATTCTTTAATCAATTTCAGGATACCAGCAGTTCCAAAAAGAAAATAGCATGCTAAAGACTGACAATATTTTAACCAAAAAATACCCTCAAGGCAGCCTCACCTTCAACTCTTTAATCCTTTCCTGGAGACTTGAATTCGAATCCTTCAATTTCTGGGCTTCACCTCGTAACTGGGTCACCATTCGAACAGCATCAATCAAAATAGCAGCCTTGTCTGTTTTGGGAGGCCTTCCAGGTTCCAAAATAGAACCCAGCTCCACAAACCTGTTATTAACAACAAATGTTAAACATGCATACTTAGCAGAGAAAGAGAAAAAAGCAAACAAAAGGCAAGAGAAGACAGATGGGAATACTTGTCATTTAGCCTATCCCTGCGCAACTTCTCCCTACATGCTTTGGAGCTAGATGCATTGCCCGCTTCAGGTCTAACTCTGCAACAGTTAATGAAATAATAGATAAGATTACTCTGATATCACACTTCTGTCAACTCAGTTTTGTGTTAACATAATTGATACATTTGTAGATACTGAGTCAATTTTGTCAATATAAAAGGAATATTAAGAAGATTCTCAATCTCATACTACATCTAAATCATCCTATTGATGCTGCTATGCCTGCTAAATTGGGAAATTATATGGAATTGCAGCAGGTTAGAAGCTAACACAAACTAAAATGCTTTAGGTTCTCAAAGAGAAATGCCCCTAGATATTATCACTTTTTTTCTACTCTATATTTCAAGGCCAGAAGTATGCCTAATAGCTTGGAATATTTTTATATGATTCCTTTAATAAAGGCATTCTAAACCCACCAAATCAGTTCTTATAATTTTTCTAAGCACACATCTGAAGAAATAAGTGATGAAAACCTAACTCATCATGAAAGCAGAAATGGCAATAGATTTTTTTTAATCTTTTTTCTATACCAGATAATATAGAGCATGAAAAAAGAGACTGGTACCTCTTCTTTGAACCAGATTCTTTAAGCCCATCAGAATCCCCAAATGAGCCATCAATTTCCGCACTAGGAACAGATCGTATCACATAATAAAGAAATATGAGACAGGAAAAACAAAAGCAGGAAGACATCCAAGTGAAATGTTAGAAGAACAACCCCTCCCTCCACAAAAAAGAAAGAGAGAAAATTTTGCTTGCCAAATATGGAAGTATAACACAGTTGCCAAGGTTAAATGAAAACAAACAAAGAATTCGAAGATCTACACTGGAATGAAAGTTAAAAATGTTCGAAAATGAAAATCCTCAAAACACATAAACTTCTGCCTAACAAAATAAGCCAATTCAAAACCAAGCCTTTTCTTTTGTTCTAAATTTCAATGTGTGGGGGACACACATTAACGGTGCACATGGGAGTGATGACTAAGGACCTCAATTGGGCTCCTGCTAGCACTTCCATGGATTAAGATACGCTCCTACCCTCCCAATGGATCGGAGTTCTTATTCCATAAATATCTCAAAGACTCAAGAAGCAAGAAATAAAATCCTATAGTTGGTTAAAACAACATGCCTAATCAAGTGCAAATCAATAACTGTAATTGCACAATAAAAGCACCAAAGGGACACCCTATAGCATCCTCACCAGCTCCAGTTTGCAAAAAATTGTCTCCAAAGAATGGAAAAAGATGTTTATAAAACATGCTTCTGCAAGCAGCTTTGTGCAAATCCCATTTCCAATAACATTACTTTGATTTCAAAGAATCCTCCAATAAGCATGACAATGAAACCCAGTTCATGGAAATTGTTTCAGTTTTAAAACAAAAATGCTTTGGAAACAAATAAGTGGTAGAACGTATGATACATGAGAGCATGAATGGCAAGTGAATACAAAAACCACATTGGCATAATCATATGACCACTCAAGCACTTGAGAAGTATATTGTCAAATACTCAAATTACGTAGCATACAAACACCATAGTCTAACCAAATTCACAACTTAACAGGTTGCTTGAAACATAGAGTGTGTCCTAGTTTAAAAATTAACAATCTTTGGCTAACATGAACTATAACTTTGCAACCATACCAAGATCAATTTTCAGAACACTAGATTTGCTGAAAAATAAATTAATGACCTTTTCAAAGTACACCATTTTAATATACCTATAACACCCCCTTAAAGCAATCAAACTACACATATAAGAAAAACTCCATTTATCAATTTTACAATAAAGAACAAACCATTTCACAAAATTTGCTCAAAAAACCCCCCAAATCTACTTCCGATATATACACAAAAACCTAATAACTTTTTCCATGAAAAACCGGCGCAAAATCAAAACTTTATGACAAATTCCAAGAAACCCTAATCATAGTAAACAAAATTAGACACCCCCATATGATTAAAATAATCTCTAATCAATGAAATAAAAATTTTCAAAACCCTAGACAGAAGAAGAAGGGATTTTTTTTTGGGATACCTGACAACATGAGAAGGAGCGTTGATTGGCTGAACCGACCAAGAAAAACCGGAAAAATGTCCGTCAGGGACAGGGATATCATCGATAAAGGGTTCGTGTGCAAAATCGATGTGAGACCAATAATTGGAGTTTTCAGGGGCCACCATTCTCCTCTGAATTTGATTCTCGCCGGAAAGTTTGAAGGGCTTCGTTTGGTTTTCCGGCTTCGAAAAAAAGGGTGGATTCTGTTTGGGAAGAGAGAAAACAACAGATTAGGTCTTACTATTTTCTATTTTCTGGGAAAAAAAAAAGGAAGAGGAAACGTTCGGAAAACGTTGGAGATTGATGGCATATGGCGGGCCTGTTTACGCGGGGATATTTTTGGGCTTATTGGGCATCGATAGCCCATTTGGAAACTTAGACCAAATTTGAAACTCTTTCCTTATAGCCCGCAACAGAGCCCGAGCATGAGCCCAACATAATTTAATGACAAATACATTTTTTTGGGTCAAAAAAAAATTTGTAATAGATAAATTGTTCAGTTACTACTAGATCCAAGATGTATCATACCCGATAATAATAATTACATATTATGTATTTAAAATTATACAAACAAAAAATCATTAATTAGACTCAAATTTAATATTTAAAAAAAAATTATTAAATACACTGATCGTGAAATTTTTTAATTTCATAAATAAAATTAAAATGATGACACGTGATTTTTATATATTTAAAAAAATTAATTTCAAAAAAATGAGTTATTTGACATTATCTTAATATCGCGAAATTTAAAATTTTCACTATTAGAATCAAATAATTTCTCATATTTTAAAAAACGATTCTTTTCAATATAAATATAGGGATTTTTTTATAAAATTTATTTTTTTAATATAAAAATATATTCATAATTTAATGTTCCTTTGAGCCCATTAATGTTTGGATGAAGTGTTTGAATCCTTGGGCTTCAAATCTAAGAAAAAATTGGATTTCATGCACTAGAATGATAATTGATACTTTGAAAATTTATTTAGTGGAGTGGATAAAGTTAAATGATTGTCACTTATTTTATTAAAGCATATTTAAAAAATTAATATAAACAATAATAATATTTATGTGATAATATTTTAATTTCGTTTGTAGAATTTAAAAATTTTTAGAACAATAATCCATCTATATATTATTCAATTAACAATTTGTTTTTTTCTTCCCTTTTTTTGCAAGGTAAGTACATATGTAAGATCATATTTATATTTTAAAAAAATAAAAATATTAATTAAAAAAATTGAACAAGTGAACAAAAATTGTCATTGTGGGACATTTGATATTTGGCATTGTTTTACTCTTATTTATTCATGGCTTTTAATGAATAAGAAGTTGGGCCATGATCTCATTAATACAATATTAAATGGTTAAAATAATAAAAATGCTTTTGATTTTATCATTTTATTTAAATAAATTTTTATATTTTTATTACAATTAAATAAGCTTTTAATTTTTACTTTACACTTAAATAAGCCCTTAAATTTTAATTTATATCCAAATAAATCTTTAACTTTTAATTACCTAAATAAACCTTTCACATAAATCAATTTTTTATTTAAAATAAAAATTTATTTGAATATAAATAAATAATAATAATTTATTTGAATATAACAAAAATATAAAAATTTATTTAAATAAAATGATAAAACTTAGAAACTCTTTTAATATTTTAGCCTAAATTTATTATTAGTGCACATATAGTTGTTGGCAAACCTTATTATAAATTAAACATATTCAAAATAAAATCCTCAAATTTATAACAAAGAAAGTGATAGTATTTCACTTCTTACAACCAAGTTAAAAGACAAACAAATCCATATCCACACAAAAAAAAAAAAAAGGGATTAAACACTAATTATCTTATTTACAATTTGTCGACAACGACCAAATTTTTATATAATTTTTTTTTTTATAAAAGAAATCTCAATCTGAAAATATGAGAAGAGATTGAAGATATTAAAATTTTTATGTAGCTTTATAACAGCGAATTTGGCGAGCAAAACCATCAATCCTTTTCCTTATCTCATCAGGATTGGCACCAACAAGCTTGTCAATCTGAGTTCCTTGCCTCATCAACAAAAAAGTTGGCATGGCCTTGATCTCCATCTTGGATGCTACTCCCTGTTTAAATCCAAATTTTTCACAAAAAAAAAAAAAAATGAATAAATTATAAATCCAAAAAAATAAAACATAACCCATTTTGCCCTATAATTTATTATTTATGGTTAATATGCATCATTAATAAATTTTTTAAATTATTTTGAAAAGAAAATTAATACCTTAACATCATCCACATCTACTAAAAGAAACAGAATATCTTGATAGCTCCTGGCCAGTTCTTCAAAGAAGGGATTCATGGCAACTGAAGGCACACACCAAGCAGCTGCAAAATGTACCATAACCTAAAATAACATTACCCAAAAAAAATGAAATTAATTCACAAGAAAATTTGATCATACCGATTAATATTCATTTTTTTTTTGTTTGTAAAAGATAAATATATCGAATTTGCACCTTTTTAATTTATAATTTCACATGATTACTATTTACTAATACAATGGTAAGCATGCAAAAACAGGTTTGAAAGAAGAGAAATTAAAAGAAAAATTAAGGCTTACGGGGCAGCCTCGGTTGTTAGCCTGAGTGATGAGAAAATCCCAAGAGTCTTCTGTCTCCACTTTGATAACTCTAGCCTTCACTCTCTGAGTTTGCCTGTCCATCTTTTCTTTTCTTCTCTTCTCTTTTTCACCCCACTTCTCTCAAATGGCAATTTGTTCTTATTTATAGAGTGATTCGGATTAAGTTAGATAACATAACTAGGATGACTAGGGTTACCCACAATGGTTAGTCTCGTTCAAGAAGATTTAAAATTTCGAATGCATTTTATCAAATACAAAATAATCCGTTCTTAAAATCATTCGTATAATGATTGATAATTTATATATTTGTATTATATAAAATATTAAAATTTATATATTTATGATATATTTTATATAAAAATTACATATAATAATTTATATTAATATAAAACTATAAAATATATTTTTTTAATTTTATTAAATATATATAATTATTATTAAAATTTTAAATCATATTATTTTTTTATTTTATATTTATATTATATTTATATTATATTATATTTTAAATTATTAAATTTACATATATAAAAGGGTATAATTTAAATGATGGAATTCGTGTCTTAAATTTATTAAATATTATCTTTTAAATATAATTATATAAATTAATTAAATTAAAATTAAGATTTTAAAACAGATATATTTTGCTGTTATGTTTTAATATTTGTATAATTTATTTTTTGTTACTTTGAAAATGATGTGGATATGATGGATAAATGCTGGACCCACTTTGTGGGTACCCTCTTATTCTTGCATATCTGGAAAGAGTTTTAAGCTTTATCCAAATCTAAACAACAGATATTTTCATTTTCTTGCAAAAGATATCTCAATTTGTCTTAAAATTTTCTTCTCTAGAAGAAACAAAAAGAGGTGTGTGTGTGATTGAATGTCACCCCCAAGTTGATAGACAACATAATTGATTAATGGAAAATCTTTTGAAATTGAAGTGATTACCATAGTATTCATTAGAGATTCCATTTCATATTATTATTAATTTTTTTCCATTACTTTTTAATATATATTTAATTTTTAATTTTGAATCTTATATTATTTGTCTAATAATAATAATAAATTTTTAATTTTATGGATGCTAATAAATTTATAAAAATTATTTTTTATAATTTTTTAATTAATTTGAACTCAAGATAATAACTAAGAGAAAAATAGAGTTTCTCTTGAACCAACATCCGTTGTTCACTTTCTTATATTTCTAATCAATCAAAACAAGTGGAGGAATTTCTTTTCTTATGTTTGAAGGCTTCTTTTAAGTCAAAAGTTTTGGCTTGGTTAAAGTCTTTACAAACATTTCTCATTTTTTTTAATACATTTCGTACTTTAAACCGTCTAGTTTTTTTTTTTTATTTTGTTTAGATTTATTTAGATGAAAATAAAATTAATTTTGATAAAATTAAAAATAATAATTACTTTAATTATCATTAAAAATTATTATAATTATGATTAAAAATTTTTATATTAAATAAATTTTATTAAAATTAATATTTAAATTCAATTAATAACATCATAAAATTAACTACATTATATCAAAAATACAATAAAATTTAAACCCTTAATTAATGGGGTTAAAGAGTTTGATATCAAATTTTCAAATATAATGTTTAATTGTAATCAATAATTAGTTGATTCAATTGATTAGGTTCGTCTTTTTTTATAAAAAATTTTAGGTTCGAATCTTATCGATAATCATTTATTAGAGTTATTTTAAATGTATGATTTATAATTATTTATCTTAAATTTTAAATATGATACATTTTATTTTGACCTAAAAAATTAAGTAATCTATCTGTTTTAAATTTTTTTATAAAAAAAATATTTATTATAATTAAGTCAAAATAAAATTAAAAAAACTAAAGATTTGAATCTAAAATCATATCAATTTATGTGATTTAATTTCTAAATATAAGTGTTTGTGTTTTTTTTTTTTTTTTTGGGAATTGCATATCTTGGGATCATAGCCTACAACATCCTAGTGTCAATCTAGCTATAAATAAAAATGCATTACAATCCAATAAAAAATCAATAAAAAGTTGTGGGCAAGCAGCTTGTTTGGGTATCTTTGGCACACATATTAAAGAGGGGTTTTGGGTTTTTTAAGCCTGCTCAAAAGTTTTTTCTCAGCGAGGTCTACATCAATGATTAAAGAAATTTATCCTTATCACCAATACTGTCTGCAGATTCTCATGAGTTAATAATGCTAAGGGGGAAGTAACTTTTTCCCATCTCCTGCCTTTTTGTTTGTTTTTAATCTTTTTCACTCCAATGGCACAAAAAACACATGCAATTAAGACAGTGTCCTACGCCCAACTGTGTCATCCACTAAACCTTTAACTACAGTGACAGAATCATGGAAATATGTTGTGGGGTTGTCTTAACTGTGATCATTTTAAATATGATATAATTATATGATATAAAAGTAATATAAAAAAATATAAATTTAATATAATTATATTTATATTTTAATTATATCAATAAAATTAAAATATGATATTATTTATATCGTATTTATATTAAATAATAATGATAAACTTAAAATATAAAATTATTTATAATAAAAAAGTTTAAATTTATTTAAAAAATAAATTAAAAATCATATTTATCATATTATTTTAATATTTAAATATATTATAAATATTTAATTTTTTAATAATTTTTTATTTAAATACTAAGTTAAATAATATTTTTTATTTAAATAAATAAATTAATTATATCTAATTATATTATTTTATATAATTATATTAATCATGTCGTATTATATTATTTAAATATAAATTAATTTTAAATATATTAATTATATTATATCACGTATAATATATAATAAATATATTATGTTATGTATCATATATATATATATGTCAAATCATTCATGTCGTATATAAAATTATATATAATATAAAATATGATATAATGACATGAATTGTTAGATCGACGCTGCTGGCAAACTCCTGCGTTTTACTTGTTCCAACTTTTTTATTAGGTGAATTCTGCCCCTGCAAAGAGAATGGTTAGAGTTTGCAATTTTTTTTTTTTTACTATTTGGAATTCGAATTTATTAAAAAATTATGAAAAATAATTTTTTTATAAATTCGTTAAACTAATATAAATATTTTTATTTAGGGCAATGAAAAAAAAATATTAAACAAAACTTAAAAATCCTTTTCAGTTAAAAAGTCACTAGAGACCTTTTTTTTTTTGCAGTGTGTGTAATAGCCAGAGATGTACATAAGAAACACAAATGTTCATGATGTTATTGCTTTGTTTCAAATCCTGCACAGCATGAAAAGGATATAAATAAAAAGCTAGGGCTTGGATTAGGCTTTAGTTTTTTAAACCCAAGCCTGCACTTATACAAGTAGAAACATGTTATAAGCATACATAAGAAGTAATTGTTAGAAAGTTTTAAGAAAATAAAAATAATAAGAAAAAAAAATGATTTTAAAGCACGAAAAATATTATCTTAAAGGTAATTATACTTATAAGATATAATAAAATCTTAAAAACTTTTCAATTAAAAATAATGAAATTGATTAGACAGAAAAATCTATTTATAATAAACGAACTCACAAAAAAATTCAATTCAAAAAATCATAACATTTTATATAATCATATTTTCTTGTTTAAACAAACTTATTTTAAAAAAATCATGTTTTTCGATTTAAATATATTTATTCAGATCATCATATTTTTCTCTATTAAAACGTGCTTATTTAGAATAAAAATGATATTTCGTTAATATTTTGAATAAATAATAATAATAATAATAATAACAAAAAATTTAAACATCTTTAACCTTTAAAATTGTCTGATCCACTAAAAAAATCTTAGTAAACCGAAATGACTTGGCTCACTCTAAATATTTAGTACAAATATTTAAATAACATAAGTAATCTTCTTTAAATTATATACAAATGATCTTTTTATTTAATGTAAGATACATCACATTTTAAATTATCAACAGTAATTATTTCTTCTACCAAGAATGTAAACTCCTTCGAACTCATAATCTCTACGTGCCAGCTTCAATGTCATGCTAACTGATTCAAAAGTCAATCAGCTAATCATTTGTCCTTCTAAGTACATTAGCATTTATATGAAAGGGGAAAAAAAAGATGGTGTTTGATTTAATTTTGAAGGTAGAAGTCAAGTTGGGCATAACAAATAAAAGATAGAACAACAAATAATGTGATTAATATTTAATATTGCATTAATTTCATGAATCAGAGAGCTGAAGAAATCAGCTGAGCACAAGTAATACAAATATAGAACTGAAGGGATTGCTTACTAATAATGTAAGTGCAAAGACTATACAGATATCTCAATCTACTAACACTAGTAACATAGATACAGATAACTAAACATGGGAAAGAAACAAAAATGTTTATCTTACTAAAGATTAGCCATTGCTCAAGCGAGAATCTGAGGTCTTCATGTTGAGTTGTCGTCGTGGAGTCCCTATCTCGCAAGCATTAACCCTGGCTGCGAAACGCAGTGAGCAGAGGGATTCACCCACTGAGGAGGGTTCAGGAGAGATATTTACAAACATTAGAGTCTTTGAGTCACCACCTAGGCAAGGCTGGTTAACCATGGGATAAAAGAAAATTAGATATGGTGTAGCAAGAATCGGATAGAGCAACAGAAATGATGCTTCCAAATCCATGTGTATACATTTACCTGAAGAAGATAAGTGAGTTTTGAGTTCCTAAATGGTACATGATCCTCCTTCTTTGCCAATGCAAATATAACATCAGCTAAAGAAGATAGACTTTTATTGATGGCCTGAATAAAATCGAAAAATCAAAAACAGAAACAAGGAACACCATATAACGAATTAAGTAATAAGTATAGTTAAAAATACTTGAGTCTCTTTTAACCGGTCCCCTGTTGAGCCACTCTTCGAAAGACGCTCACTTCCAGCAAGATCAATTAGATTCAGGACACTTTGTACTTGTTGTTCAGTGCTCTGGTGGACAACAGATACTTGGTCAAAACTATGATACATTGCATTGGATCATGGAAGATTTAGATTGGAGTAAAAAAAAGAAATGCTTGTACCTCATTAACACCAGTTATTCGCATTGTGAAAACAAAATGACTTCTTGATGATTGTTCATTCATTTGAGTCTTCCCAACAGATCTGAATGAGACAAGCACAAACTTCATTATTCTGATAGAGAAGGCCAAATTTTCAACAGAACAGACTACTGTGTGGAGGTTGGATACAGACAATTGGAGACCAGTACAACCCAAC